TTGGTATGTACTAGGGATTAAACCCAGGGCCTTGTGCAAGCACTCTACCAACTGAGCTATATCCCTAGCCCAAGACTCCATTTTTAATTTAGTGCTCATAAGAGCATATCTAGCCTGAGAGACACTCAAGACTTGTATATGTTTGGTAATATGCTCATTAATTAAAAAAATATATCTGTAAAAAGACCTATCATCTTTCTACCTATGATTAGAAAAATATTCATGTTTATTGTAGAAAAGTAAGAAAGTACAGATTTTTCTGAGGGGAAATCTTTTTCTTACAGTCTTATCACCTATAAATTGCCATTTTTTTGAAATTTAGGGTGTAGCGTATTTTCTAAATGTTAACGCATATATCTACCACCTTATACATACAGTGTGGCGCCATGCTTTATATACTGCTGTGTGTTCTGTTTTTTGAAGACATATTGTAGGTAAACTTGCAATTGAGTGACTTTTCTTCTGAAAATCATTTTCATCAGTGTACTAGTATTACCTAGTCAGATTTGCCCTGCTTGTTTAACTGATTGAGATTATATGTATAAAGTACTTAATGCATTGTCTTCATGTATCATGATGATGCCACAATTACCGTTCAGATATTACTTATATCATTTATCAATAAGCGACTTCATTGATTTCCAGATAAATGATACTTATCACTTCAAAACCAAGATTTTTTTTAACTGCTTACAAAAATTTAGGTAAATATAGTATTCTTCCTTGTCTTAAAATGTATTGTTATATGTAAAAAATATTGCATATTTATATATAATCACGAACAGCTGGAGGTAACTTACCTGAGTCAAAGAGCAGTCTAATGGTCCAGATTCCCCCTAGTAAGTCTGTTTATGGCAGTGTGAAATCATTAAAGTGGATGGATGCTTTAGCTCCACCAGTAACTAATCAGGTGGTCTAATAGAGTGTGACCATTAATTAAAGTTAGTAATTTAGGCAGACTGGGCTAGGGGGCAGCAAAGAACCACAACAGTGTCTTCTAAACCTAACTATGATCTTCCTCTCCCTTAATCTAGCTCTGCCTGGGATGAGGCTCTTCCACTTGCCTATTTCCTGATACTTTGAGGAACTTTAACAGGGAGAGGCAGACTGGAATACAATAAGAAAGGGATAAAAGAGTAGGAATTCCAGAAACAATCATCAGTAAGCATTAAGGCTTTGCCTTTTTCTCTCTGGTTTAACCCCATAACTATTGACTGGTGCACTGACATATGGTGTGAGAACACCCTTCTAACTGCTAATATATGGGTGTGAGGCCACTGTCTTCAAACTAAACAGACAGAGGCAAATCCTCATCCTTGAATTAGTGCTAGGAGAGCAGATCTGGGTCAGGGGGCTCTTACCTGTCCCTCAGTGTTTGCTGCATGGTATTTGAAACCTGAGGTGCAACCCTCTCTCTCTGTTTACCAGCTAAATGTGGCACTTTACTTCACTTCGATGTTCACTTCAGCATATGTGTTCATAAGATGTGCAGAGCCATGCTTGTGCGCAGAGCTACCAAGACACTACGTAATTCTAGGCACATGGAGAACTTAGTGAGAGGTTTAACACAGAGTGAGTACTCTTGTGATACCATACATGGTACTTTTACCCATTTTCTCATTTCATTTGTTCCATTGATTATTATATCAAGAACATATTTTGGTTTATGTCACATTTAAGTCTAGAAAATTCAAGTTGAAAGGACCATTCCTAAAAGGCAAGGCCTGGAAATACTAGGATTTCATTCTCAAAAAATAAATTTCATATTTAACGATAAAAAGGACCTATTTTGTATTGTATTTAAAAACTTTTTTGAAGATGGTATATTCATTTTTTCTTTTCTTTTTTTTGAAATGTATAACCTTTGAGTCTTTATTCCATTGAGTATTATAAATTCCTCATTAATAAACACACACATACACATACACATGCATACATTTGTCTTTCAGAGAAAGTTTGGAATGGTCATGCAAATTTACTAAGAGAATAGGAAAAAAGGTTGTAGTACGGTATTTTAGAAAATATATTTAACCAGTGTAAATAGGCCAGAGTGACATTTAATGTGAGAAATCACAATTTTTATTGCATGATGTGTATGTATTCTTTGCACAATTATGCTGATTCCCATCCAGGAAAATTTTTGGTGAAGTAAAATACTCATCTGCATTAACAACATCCTTGAGGACATGCTGTGTGCACTGTAGGAGTTTACCTGCATTCCATTCTTTACCCACTAAATACCAGTAGAAGCTCCCAACAACCAGTTATAACAATCAAAGACACTCTCCACTCTAGTCCAATGTGCACAGACCCACAGTGCGGCTTTATCTATTATTAATGGAATTAAATGTTTTGAAAATATTATCAATACTAAATTTAACATTTCTATTTGAAAATTAACATCCAAATTATGTAAATTGGTAGTTACCCCATCACTACAAGTGTTTTTGGAAAGTTGTGACATATTAAAGATAATTATAAAGATTTACTTTATTCTTAGTGTTCATTGTGATATCCCTGCTTGATAAGGCATTCCTGATTGTTTTTGGTTTCTTCCCAATTTCTTAAATTGATGTGAGAGTGAAGGGTGATAACACATGTTTGTGTCTTGTGTGAATTTTCTGATAAAAGAGAACACGTCACACTTTTCTTAGGAAATCCATGAACTGAATTAGCTACTGTGGGCTACAAACAGAATGCACACAAGGGTTCAGCACAGCAGGTATTTATTTCTCACACTCTTAAAGTACAAATGGAGGGGATTTGGATAGAGGTGGGAAGATCTTTGCTCTTTCCAATCAGTTCCTTTTGTCTTACATCATAGTTCCCTTCTCCTGACTTTGGCTCCCAAGGCTACCCTGGGAGGTCATCTTCACTTCAGATCTGGAGGGCAAGAGACCTCAGGAAGAGCTGCATGGAAGTTTTTGTGTGGCCCTCTTAGATTTTCTTAAAATAGCTTTTGAAAAATTTAAGTAGCATCCTGTTTGGAAGAGAAAAGGGAAAAATATGAGAAGTAAATACAACAGAGCTTTCTTTTGATTTAAACCGTATTTTATACTTGATAATATCAAGGAAGTTTTCAGAAGCCTATATAGCAGATGATTTAGCCAACTTATTTTCTACAGGAAATAGAACATTTCCCTTGTATAAATTTAATTCTTCTTTTTAATAGGCAATATAATATTCCTACCAGGAAAACATTTTCTCACAAGATCATTTTATTTGTGGAATTCCACCATTTCCCCTAAAAGTGGATCTTATGTTTTTTTTTTTTTTTGTACATTTTTTGTTAACAAAAACATAATGATCTTCTGGAAGATAGTCAGCCTTACACAGCAATATCAGAAGGACAGAAAACCCTACTCAGAAAGGGTTGAGGGGCCCTTGTAAATTACATTAATTTGAAAGCAAGAGTAATTCATCATGCCTGAAAACTCCCAAGTTACTTCAGTACAAATGAACTTTTATTCATAATATGTAGGCCATTTTTGTTTCATGCTCACCAGAAAATGTATTTATGATCTTTTTTTTTCTTCTTGTTATCTTTCATTTTCAGTATTATGCAAATTCACTGTGTATCATTGACAGACACTATTAACTGTGTGCGATTCAAAGGAAATGGATATAGTGTTGTACACCAAAGAGTCTTTAATTAGAGAAAAAGGGCATATTAATTCTCTGACCTCCATTCCACATACATGCAGGTTATTTCATACTATATAAATTGATTTATAATAATACTTCAAAGTTTCCTAGAACAGACAGTTTGTATTTTTATCACTAAATGCCTGCCTAGGTTATATGTGAGGTTGCAGATGCAACCTTTGCTATCATTGCCTAAATGGAATCTATGGCTTTTTAAAGTTTTCTAGGCACAGAGTGTTGCTTATACTACTTCTACCAGCTGTATCTAACGTCAGACTTTGTCCAGCCTGCCCTTGAAGAGCTGTGAACATTTATTTCATAATTAATTCATCTTTTGGAAAAATGTTGTTTCTTTGACATCAAGTACTATCCATCCAAATTTATTGCATTGTGTTCTTTGGTTTTGCCCTCTACTGCAGTCTATTTTGTACTCATTTTTATTGTTGTGATGTTACATCTTATCTGGTGTTCATTGCTTTGCATTGTTGCTATCTGATTTCTGGCTTCCTTCTGTGGAGCATCTCATTTATTAGTAACAATTTGAACATCCTTCACTGGTTTGGCATGACAGCTGACTCACGTTTTCCATCCCTTCATATTTTTTTTCTGTGTGGATTTATCAGAAATATTCCCTTTTTTGAAAAATTCAGGTTTTCCTTTTGATGTATTATTCTTTTAGAATTTCACTGCATAAAAACTAAAGTTAATCAGATTCTTTAATTATTTTGATGTAGTGTTTGACAGCTCTGTTCTTTATAACTTGTTCTTTGTTAGTGTTCTTTGATGATGTTCCCAACAGGTAGAAACGTATTAACATTGTGTTTCTGTTATATTAATATTCATCAAGAAATTTCACAAGGTACTCCTTTCTTTCTTTGTAACTGTAAATAATGAGAGAAGCTTCCATTGTATTAAGTACCTAACTAGGTCATGGCACCGTGCAGGGCAGTTTATCAACAGTGTCTCTCTTAATCCTCACTGATAACCTGCAAAGTAAGTTTTAATAGCAGTATCTTTCTGTGAACAGTTTCTGTAAAGCTTTGTGTCAGAGAAGTTCAGGAGTCTGACTATTCAGTGCCTGATTGAGGTTTGTCTGCCCCCAGACTCTGGCCCCTTTTCAGGATATGCTATGTAATGATTGTGTTCAATTTAGAAATTAAGTATTGTGTCCCTGCCATGTGCTTTTATGTTGGTAGGGACCACGTTTATCTCCTGGGGCTTCTAGCCAATGTCTTTCATGTGGTGGACCCTCCACATGTATTTATTGAAAGAATGAATAAAGGTGTAGATGACTGCTATTTTAACCAATAGTGGCATTTAAAATTCGTCTTACCTTATTTTCTGGTTGATACTAGGACTGTGAAAATCCCAGATTCAGCTGATGGGCTTGGATTCCAGATCCGAGGATTTGGCCCTTCCGTTGTACATGCAGTAGGAAGAGGTAAGAAATTCATCTTGCTTGGTAAAGAGCTTTCCAGCATGTGTTAGATATTCCATTCAGAACGGGAATATGTTTAAAATATGCATAGTCATGTTGCTGGGAATTTTCTCACTAATCTTATTTTCACTGTATTAACTCAATGGTAGTACATTATAGAAACAAAAATTTTTAAAAGAAATCTCTTCAAAAATTCTGATCTATTTATCCTGGATAAATGCTTATGTATAATTCAGCTTAAACCAAAGAGTATTGATGATTTTAAGGTTATATATTTGTATTTTTCTTGACTGCAAGTAATTGGGTTTTTTTATTCGTTTTTCGTAATTCAGAGATATGAGTTTTGAGGCTTCCGGGTGATCTGTGGGCTCTATAACCTGTTTCTATTTAATTCCTTTAGGTGTTCTTATGAACCTTGGATACATTTCACCATAAAATGTATTTTAAATTAAATAATTATGGTGATTAAAAACTTGGTATATTATTCGAGTTTTTGAAAGACAAGTCATCTATTGACATGTTGTTATGTATTTTTTTGTTTGTTTTAATGACACTAAGAATGGAATGGAATAACAGTTTCCACATTGCTAAACATAATAAATAACCAACTGCTGTAGCTGGAAGTATTTCTGTAAGCATGAGAAACCATGTATTTATCTAACAAGGGGGAAATAAATACCTTTTTAGTGCCGAGAAACAGGAAGCATCTTAATATAATCACTCCAACATTAGAGAGGCAATTTTAAAAGGGCCTTGCTATCAGAATAAAATTTAGTTAGACATTTATTAGATTATAAGCTTAATTATTATACATATTATGATAAAAATCTGTCATACTTGAAAAACTTGTCTGTTCTCTCAAATTTTTCAAAGTAGAGACGGATAGATGTTTAAAACTGTTTGAATAACTCATTCAATTTTATCAAATGGAAATGGGACATTACATATTAAATCTCTTCATTTTTACAAAACCAAAAAAAAAAAAAAAAGAGTTGTTCACATTACCACTACTGGCATGTCACTGAAATCCTGAGTGAATTGAGGTCTCCCATCATCTAAAGAGCAAGGTTCTATCTTTGGAGATTAGTGATGAGGTTGGTCAAAGTCTGATTCTTGTGCTTTTCTGCTTCTGATGGAGTCAAAAGACAAATGCTTCTGTGCTTGTCCTCTCCCGTGTGCATTAAATGAAAAGATGTTTTTCTGGTTTCTTTTCACACTGATGTTATGTGGTCAAAGCAGAGAGGCCTCCCCAGCCTTGTTCTCACAGTGAGTCATGGCAGTCAGCCCACTCTTTCCAGTGTGACCTACCTACATCCGGGCCACTGGATTTCAGACTTGGATGAGCCTTTTTGTCCCTTCTCCTGAACAGCTTTGTGGTCATGGTTCCTGATAGCCTGTCTTGTCTTCACTGGGCCCCTGTTACTACTTAGCAGTTTTTTAAATGTGTTCTTCATCAGCTAGCTCCTTCTTCTTTTTCTTAAAATTATCTCCCAAGACTGACTTCTCTTTTCTTACCTCACTAATTCTGTCTCTGAGACACAAGGCCTTCAGCGTCTTCTGTGTCTGTAAGGTTCAGAGGCTGAGGGCTTTGCACCAGCCACACAAGGCCTTCTCCCTGGGGCTCTGCTCTGCTTCCGCTTTCTCTCTCTTTCACACCCTCCTGCCCAGTTCTGTGCTCACACCCCACATGTCCAGGTGATTTCTCACTCCATTTCCTTCTTCCTACTATTTTCTCTGCTGGGAATGTCCTTCCTTCCCCCAAGACTCAATTCAATGCAGAATAACTGAATAACCACTTGATATTTTGGGGAGTGTTTTGGTCAGCTTTTTCGCTGCTGTGACTAAAGGACCCGACCAGAACAACTGTGAAGAAGGAAACGTTTGTTTAGGGGTTTAGGATTTTGGGGGTCTTAATCCATAGAAGGCCAGCTCCCTTCCTTGGGGCTCAAGGTGAGGCAGAACATCATGGCAGAAGAGTGTGGCAGAGGGAAGCAGCTCACATGGTGATCAGAGAGCAGAGAGAGAGAGAGAGAGAGAGAGAGACACTTCATTCTCCAGATACAAAATATATACCCCCGTGCCATGTCCCAATTCCCACTTCCTCTAGTCACACCCTACCACTTAGTTACCACTCAGTTACCACTTAGTTACCACTTAGTTACTACCAGGGGATTAATTCACTGAACCTTATTGCATTGGCTCACACATGGACATTTTGGGGATACCTCACATCCAAACCATGAACAGGAAATGAATTTTATTGGGAACTGAGAGGAAAGGAAAATATTTATTCATAAATATTAATTTTCGTAGAACTGTTTAATAATTCCCTTATGGGAGAAAATGCTTATAGTGGACATCTTTTCTAGCATATTTGTGATATTTTACAACCATTTGTGAGAATTACATATATTCTATTTTTCAGTGGTACTTTCTCAATGTTGATTTGCTCAGACTATCCAATATCAATCACTGGAAGTTTCAGAGAAACCTTAACTCGCTGGCTAGAATATGCCACTTCTGTATTTAAATCTGTACCTATGTAAACAAAGTGATTGAAAAATTGGTAGTATTTGCTCTGTTCTCCACAGCTTCTCTGGTTCCTGAACACTTATGTTTTCTTAGAACATGCAGGCTGCTCATAGTAGTTAATTGACTTGATTTTTGCCTTTAAAATTTATTTTTAGGGGCTGAGAATATGACTCAGTGGTAGAGTGCTTGCCTAGCATATATGAGGCTTTGTGTTCAATCCCCTGAGCCACCAAAAGAAAAAAAAATATATATATATATATGTGTGTGTGTGTGTGTGTGTGTATTTTTCTTTTTTATATTCATATTAAATTATTGACATTCTTTTAAAAAGTGAGTTCTCTTTCAATGTTTAGGGACTCTGTAAAGAAAGATAAGCATATGTTTCTGGCTTTTGTAGTTTTTATTACATAGATGTATATTAGGAAATTAGATTGACTAGACATTTAAAAGGGAAAATAACTGATTAGCATTTTAAAGGTCACTTTGAAATATTCCCTCAAACTAATTCTTAGTAAGGTGGGAAAATGTTCTTTTAATCACAGTTTGAATGGTGAGTTAAAAAGCAGAAAAATGTTGAGACAGAATTGCTATCAGAACCGAATTTATTAGGAGTATATTAGCTAGGCCCTTATATTTTAAAAATTGCTTTCATTGTTCTATATATGATAAAGATGAATCTTATTCTTCAGATACATTTTTGGCAATTTTCCGCATTTGTATTTAAAGGAACTGTAGCAGCAGCAGCTGGTCTTCACCCTGGACAGTGTATTATCAAAGTAAATGGAATCAATGTCAGCAAAGAGACCCACGCCAGTGTCATTGCACATGTTACAGCCTGCAGGAAATATAGGCGACCAATGAAGGTAAACTGCTCTTCAGTTTATCTGGATCTGAAAACAAACTTGCAAAGGAGACCAAGGGGACAGCCTAGGATAGTGCTGGAGATGTTTATGGTTTCGACTTCTAAGTGAATTTAAACGCAGCATTGGAAATCCCATATGACTATTTTATCTGCATAATTAATCAAAGTTGACTGTGTTTAAATGGTTGTATCTTATTGTTATAGTCTTATTAGTTGCTTAAAAAGTGATGTTGGGTATTTTCATTTTCCTTTTTCCTTTTTGTGGTGCTGGGGATTGAACCCAGGGCTTTGTGCATGCAAGCCAAGCACTCTACCAACTAAGCCATATCCCCGGCCCTCATTTTTGTTTGATAAGAGTTTATCTAATTGAAATCCAAAGAATTGAGCTGTTGTCTTAGAATCACTTTAGAAAATAATAATCATTGTGTATGTACATGTGAATTATAAATATACTGTTTATCCTAAGACTTCTGTGAAAGAGTTGAAATTGTGAGTTTTATAGAGTTTGGTTGATTTTTTGGATATTTTATTTAGGAAACTGGGTTAGCTTTTAAAAGAAAATGCCAAAATGTGCTTGCCTTTACTTAAAATTTAATCACTATTTTTTTGATCCATAAGTGCCACTGAGAGATGAAATTGGAATCCTAATTCATAAGCCAGGTTCATTCTCTCATGAAGAAAAAGTGAAGATTGGACTATAGGAAAAAATTTCTCTGAATTTAATCAAGTAGATGCAGAAGGAACTTTAGATAGGGCTTATATTTTTAATAGTCATACATGGTGGAATGCTCTTTTCTGGATTTGAGAATATGAAAGTGTTCTCATATTGGTGATTTTCTCATAGGCCAGGACTGATATTCTGCAAAATTTTGAACTTACATGGAAAGAACCGATCAATTTTGCTTACTAATAAGGTCAAAACTAGCATGGAAATTGGAATTTACACATGAACTCATAGGTTACTCTGATTGATAGTAGTTCAATAAATATTCGTTAAGAAGCTGTGTGATTGAATACATTTTTGAAAGACTCTTTAAGAAATTATCAAATCTTTCCTCTTTATCAGTACCTTCTTGGAGGAATGTTAATCAGTGAAATAATTTTTAAAAGGAATAAATGGACAGAAAAATTCACTGAGTAATGTGCTCTCTCAGGTATCCATTGCTACAAAATAGACCACCCTAAAACTTAGTGGCTTAAAACAACAGTGATTGATGATTTCTCTTGATTTGACTGGATGGTGGTTCCTATGTCATTGTGTTCAGCTGGGACCTTACTGGGTGCCTGGGTTCCGTTCCTTGTGGCCTCTTGCCCCATGTGGCAGGTTGTCCTCCAGAGCTCCTGTGTATGGTTTCCTTTCAAGTCTCCAGCAGGATTTCCTTTTCTGTGTGGTGTGTGGATTTCCAGAAGGAATATTACCCCCTAGTTGGATGGTACTTGCTTTTGGACACATGGAGTCACAGGGCCAAGCCAAGGTTCAGAGTGAGAAGGAACTACAGAAGGTGTGGGTATTGGGGGTGTGGCTCATTGGTGGCCACAACAAGTGACCAAGTTAGGTAGCATGCTTTTGTTTTTTTTTGGTTCTGGGGATTGAACTCAGGGCTTTTTGCTTGTTAAACACATACTCTACTTATAAAACTACACTACATCCCCAGCTCTTAACTATCATTTTAATGATTTATAGCATAATAATAAACACAATTGTGAATCTGATGCAAGAGAAAAAATAGATTACATCACACTTCAGTAATTCAGTTAGGTTTGATTTATCACCTTATCTAAGAAAAGTATAAACCTTGAAGTAATATTACCCTTGAAGCATTTATTTGGTAGCCATTTCATCTCTCTCATTTCTCTAAATAAGATTGGAGCTACTGTTTCAATTAAAATACAAGATGATTTTTGACAGAGAAGGATTAAAGATAGTTAGAAACTCAATGAGATAAAAGATATTCTCCCAATTTTCATGTTGGTTTGATTCAAAGAAGCATTAAATGTATTAAAATAAGGTGATTATTGGGGGCATTTAAAATGGTTTGTACAGTGATAGAAAATTGATTCATTCCCAAACTGTCCATCTAACATTTGCTTATTTTTAAGATGTAATTTATAACTCATTTTAAGATATACTTGAGGCATTTAAGTAAGACATTTGAGAAATACATCCTATTTAAGAAATATCTTTGGAACATATCTTTGGAAGATAAATTTACATAAAACATATCTTTGGATGATAATTTAAGCTTGAAAAAAAAGTCAGTTTGTTAAATCGTCATTGACTTTCCGTTCTGATGTTGATTGTCTTTCTCTTTCAAATTCTATTATTTCTAAACAAACTAGAGCAGTAAATAAGATGGGCAACTCTTCTTCTAAAGCAAGTTTAGGAAGTGGATATGCATTTTAGGATGTACTATTCATTACCTCTGAAGTTTCTTTTCCCCCCTCATTTCCAGCAAGATTCCATACAGTGGGTTTATAATAGCATCGAGAGTGCTCAGGAAGACCTCCAAAAATCTAACTCCAAACCTCCTGGAGATGAACCAGGGGATGCTTTTGACTGCAAAGTTGAAGGTAGGTTTCTTCTTTTTCTCCCTTTGATTTAATAGTTTTTTTTTCCCCACTCTGTATCTACTTGCTAATGTTGAAGGTCTTGTATCTTCCAAACATGACTTTGAATCTTAAGTCATCATCACCAAATAGATGTCATGTCACATAAGCAAGCAGTAATAGCTTGTGCCTAACGTGTCATATTCATATCCTGGTTGGTAGGCACTATTTAAGTGTGTTACATAGCTTATCTCACTTAATCATTAAAAGAGAACATTTTTTTTTAAAAATAGGTATGATCATAACCTTCCAGAAATTGAGGTCTTTGTAGGTTAAGGGCTTTACCCATTCTGGTTAAGGGATAAAGTGAGGATTCAATCTTGAGTTATGTCACGTTTTCTTATTTGGAATTGAATGTTGTTTATTTATTTTTGTTCTTTTTAGTTATACATGACAATGGTGTATAACAATATATTCATACAAACATGGAATACATTTCATTCTGATTAGGATCCCAGTCTTGTGGTTGTACACGATGTTGAGATTCCCTGTGGTGTATTCATATATGTATATAGGAAAGTTGTGTCAGAATCATTCCACTATCTTTCCTATTTGCCACTGACATGATTCTATATTTAGAAGACCCAAAAAAAAACTCCACCAGAAAACTTCTAGAACTCATAAGCAAATTCAGCAAAGTAGCAGGATATAAAATTAACACCCATAAATCAATTTCATTCCCATTCACTGATATGAATCAGCTAAAAGAACAATTAGGAACATGATCCCATTCATAATATCCTCAAAAAAAAAAAAAAAGCTAAACAATAACAAAAAAACAACCCACAAAGAACAAAAACAAAAACAAATCTGGAAATCAATTTAACAAAAGAGGTGAAAGACCTCTATGAGTGAAAATTATAGAACACTAAAGAAAGAAGTTGAAGAAGATGGAAAGATCTCCCATATTCTTGGATAGGCAGAATTAATATTATCAAAATGGCCATTTTACCAAAAGTGCAATGCAGATTTAAAGCAATTTCTATTAAAATCACAGTGTCATTCTTCATAGAAATAGAAAAAGCAACCATGAAAGTCATTTTGAAAAATAAGAGACCCAGAATAGCCAAAGCTATTATGAGAAAAGAGAAACTGGAAGTATCACAATATCAGACCTTAAATTATGCTACAGAGCTATCATATCAAGACCAGCATGGTATTGGTACCAAAATAGGCATGGAGACTAATGGAACAGAATAGTTGACACAGAGACAAATCCACATGAATACAGTTACCTAGGAAAAGGTGCCATAAAACATACATTGGAGAAAAGACAGTCTCTTTAACAAATGGTTCTGGGAAAACTAGAAATCCATAGGTAGCAGATTGAATGTTGTTTAGATTTTGCTATTCCAGTTATCATAAAAAAATGAAGAACCTCAGCCAGGCACGTGGGTCACACCCGTGATCCCAGTGGCTTGGAAGGCTGAGGCAGTTCAAAGCCAGCCTCAGCAACTTAGAGAGGCCCTAAACAACTCAGTGCCACCCTCTCTAAATAAAAACTAAGAAAAGAGGGGAGTGGGGTGGGCAGGTCTGGGAATGTAGCTCAGTGGTTAAGTGTCCCTGGGTTCAATCTGTGGTATCAATTAAAAAAAAAAAAAAAAGCAGAACCTTAGCCCATCCTCATTTTGAAAAAATTTACATGTTTATTGAAATGTAGAAGCCTTGGTCTGGAAGGTCCATAGTTCCTTTCAAAATATTTTCTTGATTTGAGTAACATTTACTGTATTCTAACATTGACAGTAAGGAAAGAGGCAAACTAATAATGGGAAAAGAGAAAAAAAAGAGAGAGAGAGAGGTCTTTGGATAAATTCTCCTGCTATTTCTGTTTTCTCAATTGAACAATCCAGCAAATTGCTTTATCCAGAGGCGTTGCCAAAAGCAACAGAAGCAATTGCATGTATGTCTGCCTCTGACAGATACCTTGAATTTTTATTTTAGAACTTTTTCACAGAAAAACAATCCTCCTTTATAATTATTTTCCTGTTGTCCACTCATCTTATTGGTGGATGTCTCTGGAAAGTTTTATTTTTATTATACCATTAGATTCTTTCCAACCAGTACAGTTAGAGAGTTCCGTATTCTGGGCAGTTTTTACTGGCAACACTTCTAACACCATATGTGTGGGTTTTTTTTCCCCCCACACCAAGCAAGTCTCCTACTCTCCAGATACCAATGGGTGTGCTGTAATCCAGTTCCAATACCTATTTCTGGGAGTTAGTATGGACGTCACAAGTGAAGGGCTCAGTCCCTCAAGACTGTCCTCTCCTCAGATGTCCTCGTAGGTTCCAGGTTTTCACCTGTATTTCTGACCAATTGGCTTTAAGGTCAGGAGTTCTCACACCCTCTTCTTGGATCCAATATTTGCTAGAATGACTCATGGAACTCAGTAGCACACTTCACTGACTATCACTAATTTATTATAAAAGATACAACATGAACAGGTTCACAAGATGAGTTCTGGTAAAGTCCCAAGCACAGGAGCTGTGTCCCCAGTGTGTTGGGATGTGTACCCCTCTGGATGTATGCATATGTTTATCTACTTGGGGGGCTCTCCAACTTGCATTGTTTTTTAGGGGGTTCCATTATGTAATGTGTTTGGCTAAGTCATTGGCTATTGGTAACTGAACTTAATCTCAACCCACCCCCTACCCCCAGAGGACTGCAGGTAAAGTTGAAAGTTCCAGACCCCTGATTGCATGGTTGATTCCTTTGATTGTCAGCCCCCATTTTTGAAGTTATCTAAGGGCTCACTAAGAATCACCTCATGAACACATTACTAGTATGTGGTTGAAAGGAGCTTGTCATGAATAACAAAAGGCACCCCTGTTGTCTCAATAGCTCAGTAAGTTGTAAGTATTTTAGAAGCTCCTCATCAGGAATAGGACCACAGACCATATATATGTTTCTTATCATATGACATCTGTGTATACCAATCATGGAAGGGGTTCCTAGGAAAGCTTAGTTGGATCCTTCCAACCCATGGGCAAAATCAGAAATACCTCAACTTCATTGGAGTAACATAATATTATTATGATAAGACATGATGTTAGTTATTCAAAATAAGATGAGTCTCAGGACCTCACATGGAGGCTTTTATTCCTCATTTGGAATTAATCCTCTTTGGTGTTGGTTAATTGATAGTTAGGAATTGATGTCTAACTATTCTGGGACTTAATTATTTTAAGGTAAACCAATATACCCCTTTAGCCTGTTTAATACATACAATTTACTATCCTATTCTAGGATTTTGTTGTTTTAAATAAACAATTTTATTTTTTTTACCTAATATTTATTATTGGATCTCCTGGTTTTTCACATGGGACTTTAAGTGTTTTTCCACTAGTTGACTAATCGCAGGCTGAAAATCTATAGGAAGACATTCTATATAGAAATTTTTAGTATAGTGAACAATGATGAATTTTCTCAATGAACTCTCCCTGAAAGAGGCTGTTTGGGAAACTTCAGGTATCCTGTCCTTTCTGTTCAAAAGCAATTCTTACATCTCCTTTGTCTTCTATAATATGCCCTTCTTTATGTTTTTTTTTTTTTTTTGCTGCTTTGAAAAAATATTCATTCAATCTTTAAGGCATTTTTAGAAACCCTAAATTTAAGTTGTGTATGCTCTTTTCATTGAAAAAATAACACAAAATCACATCTGTAATGTTTATATTGGTATAACTAAATATACACATGGTCCACAGATCTAAGCGGTATAAAGATGAGATTGGTCATATTAAAGTGGTGAGATTTGGATCACTCAAGCATTTGCTTTCTATAAAGTGCGTTTATGTTTCAAATTGTTAACAAGAATAGATGCTTCATTCATCGGATTTAGCCAACCTTTAAAGAACTCTTGAAAAATTATTTGAGGCTCACTATATTTGAGGCTCAAAAATATCTGACGTTGGCAAAGTCAGATTGTCTGCATTGCAGAGGCACTTGACAAGTTCAACACCATGGCCATCATCGACGGGAAGAAGGAGCACGTGAGTCTGACGGTGGACAACGTCCACCTGGAGTACGGGGTTGTGTACGAGTATGACAGCACGGCTGGGATCAAGTGCAATGTGGTGGAGAAGATGATTGAGCCCAAGGGGTTCTTCAGCCTGACTGCCAAGGTAGGAGTGGACCTGTCACCACCAGGGGGTCCCTTCTAACTAAAACGACCTGATGAAATGTAATGGCTGTACATGCTGCAGCTGCTTCAACATCTTTTTCTTTTTTCTCTAGTATTGAGTAGGTGTGTGGTCTTACTTTTATTGATCCTTCTGTATGACGGTTTTAACTTGGATAGTTGGGCAAAGACTTTCATACATTTAATAGGTTTGCAGCCTCTGTTAATTCAGTATTGTGGATATGTTTCAGATAGTTTTCTTGACAGGTTTTTTTTTTTTTTTTAATGCACATTATCCTCTGACCCTAGTCACTGAAGTTCTGAAATATAAGAAATTTCAAATTCTGCAAGTGTCAAAAATTTCAAGAAGCTTAGAGATCAGGTTATGAATAGATCCACAGAAATTTGTACAAGTCGTATTTGGAAAGGACATCACCATATGGTCCTTAGACGAAAACAAGATGAGGGAGGAAGCGAATTTATATCCAAATGGACAAAACATGTGACTCTGAGCTTTCTTTTCATGGTGCTTCTAAAAGTTGAGTCCCTCAGACTCCTTCGGTGACCTCCAGTGTTTGTTTCTGCTTTGCTATCATTCTGAGAGAATTCAGATACTTCAAGAAAAATGAGATATATTTCTCTTACTTTTATCTTTTCATTTTATTTCTTGTTTTAAATATGTGTAGTGGAGACAGTTACCAGTTATAATATATATTTTTAAAGTTTTAGTGGGAGAAAGTAATATGGAGATCCATTTTAAAAATAAATATTTTACTTTTTTATTTTTTATCCTGGAAGCCATCTTAAAAAAAATACAACTCATCATTATGAGGCTGTTGTGCCATTGTATGTATCTTTTGATATATACTTCCCAAACACAGTTCCTTTGCAACTATGTTATACAGTCAATGGAAACCATGCAAGAGTTTGAAACCACATTATTATAGTTATTTAATCTTATTTTTCATGTATTTCAAGTTTGCAGAATTGTGTGGATTATTCTACATATGATAATTATGTTAGTACTGCAAAAATCATTTCCATTTTACACATGAAGAAAGTCAAAGGAATTAAGGCATTTAGCCTGGAACATGCTGCCAATGATAAGGCCAACTCTGATTTCTAGACTAATGGGGGAAATGAAAAACTCATACTAACAGGGAAGTGGATGGAGGTAGTAAGAGGCTGAAAGAAATAAAACATCAACACATTTTTATGTCTTACACAGTATTATAAAAATATTGGTTAAGGGTAAGCTCAATCCCTGTGATCTCTAGCAGTCATAAATGCCATCTATAAACACACCATGTAATTCTCAAGCCATTGGAAATTCTAGTGACCTAAGGTAAACAACACACACAAACACACACACAAACACACACACACACACACACACAGCCTTACAATTGATTCAAATATTCAAAAAAGTTTGCTAATTGAAAATATTATATGGATGCTTTTACATGATGCTTTTAACATCTAGAGCTTAGACACAGCATAACCATTAATTTATACTTTACCCTGATAACTGTTCATTTGTTCATCCTTTCTGCAAGCATTTGTTAACTGTACTGTCTGTGCTGGACTCTCTGTAAGAGGATGCTATTGCTTTTCCTGGCTTTTTGCTTTTTTTTTTTTTTTTTTGTTCTCCCACCCAATTGAGCGGAAAAAATGTTCTGGGTTACTCTGACTAAAAATATAGGAAATATGTTCCCACATCAGATGTCTGATCTGTCCAGCAGGGAGTCTTTGAAGTCCACTTACCTCCCCAAGCAGCCTTTTTATACTTAGCAGAAGGTGTAACCTGAGATACCAAACAGACAAAGCAAATCACCTCTCTCACAGTGCCTCAAAGAACATGGAAATCCTGGGGAGCCACGAAGAGAAGAGTAATACTGGAAAGTCACCCTGGAGTGTTAACTTATGAAAATTTTATGTGGCTACTTCTGATGTTTTTTTTTTCTTATTTTATTTTGTATTGTGTGTTTATTACTAGATTCTTGAAGCCCTGGCTAAAAGTGATGATCATTTTGTGCAAAACTGTGCCAGCCTAAATTCCCTGAATGAAGTGATTCCTTCTGACCTTCAGAGTAAATTCAGTGCCATGTGCAGTGAAAAAATTGAGCACATTTGTCAGAGAATTTCCAGTTACAAAAAGGTAAAGATTCTATAAATCCTATATGTAATTAGTACTGAGATTATTATTGAAGTGCCAAATTTAAATCAATCCTTGATATTCCTTTTATACATATATTACGTATACTGTGTTTATTGTAATAATGATAAAATTTATACAACTGCCCTAGTCTATTGATTTCTGTTACTATAGCAAAACACCTGAGGCTATAAAGAATAGAAGTTTATTTATTCATGGTTCTGGAGCTTGGGAAGCCCAATATCAAGGTGCTGGCAATTAGTGGGAACCTTCTCTCTGCATCATAATGTGTTGGAGGGCATCACATGATGAGATACCCAGCACACTAGTTAGGGTCTGTCTTCCTCTTATAAATCCACTAATGCCATCATGGAGACTCCACTTCATGACTTCATTTAATCTTGATTACTTCCCCAAAGTGTACCTCCCAATGCAGTCCACACATGAATTTGGGGATTACGTTTTCAGCACACGAATTTTGTGGGTCCTTATTCAAACCATAGCAATAGTATATTGGAGTATTTTAAAAATGTCTTTATATCCATTACCTCATTTGATGTTTGCCAGCCTGTAAGCTATATTATTATCCCACATTTTCGAAAAGATAATATTAGCTGAGGCCTAACGAATTAAATAATTTACCTGTAAAAGATAGAGCTGGGTTCTTTTAAATGCAGATCCTTTAATTCTGATATCAAAATTCTAAATTACGCTATGGCCATTCTTTCCTTTTTCTCCCAACAAAGGAAACAGAAGGCCTCAATCAAAGTATGTGGCAAATGGGCTGCTTTAAATTGATTGATTGGTTTATTTACTTGTCATACATTCTCGGGCACCTTCTGTGTGCCAGGCACTTCTTGTCATGAGGAATGTAACCTGGGATGGGATGGACAAGATCGCTCCTCTCCTGGTGCTCACATTTGAGTAAGGAAATAGCGAAGAATTAAATAAACCCTTGCAAAGGGGGTACTCAAACACTGAGAGATCTTATCAGGAAATCAAAATAGGGAGGTATAGTGGGTAGTGTCAGAGTGGTACCTAGTCAGGGACAGCCTCCTTGTGAAACCCTGGGTGTGCATGACAAGTAGAACTCTCCATTTGCATTGGAGAAGGGAGTATTTGGGTGTAAGGAACAGAGGGGACAGAGGCCCCAAAGCAGAAAGAAGGCGGGGGGTGGGGGTGGGGGGGTGGGGAGGTGTGGGGGGGAGTGGCCAGCTCTCCAGTAAGGTCTGAGGATTTGGCAGGGGACCCTTAGAAAGAGCTGTAGAAGTGTTGTGCCTTTTGGAACTTTGGAAGGAGTTTGGGTTTCATTCTTATGTTGATGAAGACCAATGGGAAGGCTGTAATCAGGGGAATGATTCTATCTACTTGAGGATTTTAAGGAATCATGCTTTTGTAGGGGTGGATTGCAAGGATAGGAATGGAGAAATTGAGAACAGTTGGAAGCAATTACAGTAGTTCAATTGAGCAATGATGACAGCAATGAGGGTGGAGGAGACAGAAAATTAGATGGATTTGGGAATATATTTTGGAAATAGAATTAATGGAAATTGACCTCCAAAGCATATGCTATAATAGTTTTTAAATTTTTTGTGTGTATTTATATCATAGAAGACTAATTAATTAAATTTCCCTCTCAAAATGATGTAGTTGCTTAAAATTTGCTATGTCTACACTTATGATTATTACTTATCTAGATATGTCTGAATATTATTTAACCATACATGAATTTTAGATTGTTAATATTGTAAGTGAAAATAAGTCCATGCGTCTATATATGGATGAGAATGTGTGTGAATGAATACCCAAAGGACTGTCATTGTTGGCTGCATTGGGTAGAGTGAGACAAGAGGTAGAAGACCATACTTCCTGTAATGTTTGGGTTGTTAAGCATGCATTACTGTCATAATTTTCTAAAAGTCCAGTCGCATGAGAAAGTGATATCGAGATTTCGACCTGCCTGCGACACCCATTAGCTCTCTTTCCATGACTGCTGAACTCTGGTTCATCTGAGTTGGCAAGGAGTCCCCAAATGGACTGTATTGGAAGTTGTAGAGAAGAAGATTCTCCTTTTACTTCTCCTTTTCTGTGAAGTCTGTGACAGTACTTTGAAGTAAAATTCAAAAGCTCTCAGCAAATGCAAACTAGTTTTATTCTCCTTTTGATCACATTTTGAAAAAGAGAATCATTCTGCTTCAGAGATGGATCTGTAAAAGATGTGATGCGGGGCTTAGGCAGATTCTGGGTATCAAACTGGTCCCTTGTGTCTGTGTCATTTTCTTTCTTTTTTTTTTGATTTTCTTTTTCTCTCCATTCCTTCATATGACAAAGACGCTAGAAGTATCTTACAGGAAGGTACACGAAAAGGGTGAGCTGTTAAACACACGCATGCACACACACTCAAAACTTTAGGAACACTGTAGATTGGGTGGCGAATTGCTTCATCTGCTTCACAGAGGACCAAGATAACACAGGCTTAACCAAGATGGATTGATGATTGATTGATTTCCACCCCCCACATAAAAGTCCATCCTGACAGGAGTACAGTGGGGTGGGACTTGTCAATCTTACTAATGTTCTGCCATGTATGGTTTTGCTCTTCTAGGGATATTGCTATCTTCTGCGAGGTCAAAGCTGCTTCACCACCGTGTCTAGGCTGTGATTCTTCAGAAGGGCAAAGAGGAAATACAGAGTTTACTTTTGCTGCCTGACCCAGAAATTATCCACATCATTTCTGTTTAACCCTTATTAGTTATTTTTTTTTTTTTGAAAGAGAGACTGGGACGTATTTTCTCAGGCAGACTTTCACTGGGCTCAACTAAAATCTGGGGAGTCTTATTACAGAAAGGAAGAAGAGGAGAATGGGTATTGGAGGAAAGTTATTAATATCTACTCCACAGTAAAGCTGTATTAGAATAGATGGTACTGGCCACCAGGGGAAAGGGTCCTAAGGTCCCAAGATTCTATTTACGTTCTAAAATTGAACACTGTATTTGGCTTTCTACTTCCTGGTGTTCAAAATATAAAGGCAAACATCCTGTTGTATTTTTACAGCATCCCTGTGAAATGGACATTTTGCATAAGAGAAGCATAGCTTTTCTTGAGCTAAAAGAAATCTCTCACACAGATATTGTATGGCACTGCCCATAAGCATACCATCGTGAAAGAAAGAAGGGCTTCAATAAAAAAACATCTGTTTTACATTGCAGATATTTTTAATGCTCTCTTTAATGAAAGCCAATAGCGTAGATGAAAAACCCAGTCTATTCAAAGCAAATCTGTTGTGGGATGGGGCAGGAGGAATAGGAAAATATTAACTAATGTGCACTTTTTTCATTTTTTCTTTTTTTTTGGTAGGAAGTGCTGGGGATTGAACCCAGGGCCTTGTGCATGTGAGGCAAGCACTCTACCAACTGAGCTATATTGCCAGCCCCTAATGTGTACTTATCATGTAAAGAGTAGGGCACATGCACAGTTGTTCCAGGATGTCTGCCCTCCCATACTTACAGTCTAATCAAAAGGAAAAGTCAAAGGGACATGAGGAATACAAGTGCCCACCTAACCTGCTAGGAATACCCCTGAATGGCTGAACTTACTAGCCCCATATAACCTAGTTTACATGGTGCTTCCTAGAGTTATGAGCTCACAATAGTGTGTGCACACACGTGTATGTGCATGTGCATGTGTGTGTGTGTGTGTGTACATGTGTCCTGTGCTTTCCCTCTCTCCCTTTCTTTCACAGTTCTGGGATGGAACCCAGGACCTTGAGCATGCCAGGCCAATGCTGTACTACTGAGCTCCCTCCTTAGATCGTTTTATTATTTTGAGACAGGGTCTTGCTAGGTTGCCCAGACTGGCATTGAAATTGCAATCCTCTTGCCTGAGCCTCCCAAGTAACTGGGGTTTTTGTCAGACTACCACCAGCTATCTAGCATTGTATGAGGTGTTTTCTAGTTTGCTTACATTGTAGAATTTACCAAAACAGTGAAATGAGGTACACATTTCTCATTTCATGGAATGAAGTGCCCGAAGTTCAGGGTGGTTAAGAAACTTGCCCAAGGCACTCAGTTGGCCACAGCAATGAGATTTGAAACTTGCTCCCTTTTATACTAACACTGGTTGTTGTTCGTTTACCTGCATTTGACTTTGTGTTACACAGCTCAGTGTGGTTCTGACTGGAAAAGCAATAGGATTTCAGTAAAGAAAAAGTCATTGTGGATTGAATAGTCGCCAAATGGTAGGTCCTGTAAATTGGGATGATTGTCAGAGTGAAGGGAAAGATGGCATAAAAAGTGACCTAAGTTCAGGCAGAGATACAGAAATGAGACTGCTCTTATGGATAAAGAATCGGCATACTCCCTGGACTAGAAATGAAGATCTGAGTGTGGATGTAATTTAAAAAAAAAAAACTGACAACATTGGACTTTTCCAGTGATATTTTGGAATAGCATCATAATCAGATTTGTTTGGAAGAAAATCACTTTGTCAATTGCATAAGGTATTGGTGGGAGAAGAGCCACAGCAGGGAGGTTGGTAAGTGGTCTTTACCTGTGGAAGTGCAAGTTGATGGTGGTGTGGGCCCTGTAGCAGTATTGGAGATGGAGAGGATCATTCCAAGATAAGTGTAGGGGGCAAAAACTGGGCAGATCTGCTGACATGGTTATAGCAGATGAAGAAGCTGTCATTTCTTGGTTTATTGTAACAAACTGAGGTGTGCATGTGCAGGAAAGGAGAAGCACATACTTTAGGGTTTCACCCAAATGTTGGAGATTCTCAAAATCATCATCTTAGTGAGTAAGAAATATGTTCTACTTAATTGTTCATAACTAGCATCCTGTAAGCTTTTAAGTTAGAAATGGACAGATGAATGATTTCATTTATGGGCAAAGATTGTATTTTGTTTTTTGTGCCAAGGAACAATCTACCAACGAGCTACACCCCTAGAGCCACAGAAATTGATTTTAGATAACAAAAAATAATATCATTGAGTTATAGAGAGCCCTTTTCTGCCCTTGATCGTTCTCTGAGTCTCAGAACATCTGTGTGCACTGACCTACCATACTGCTTCTTCCTCAAGAGAAGGTGACATTTGCCTCCGGTCACATAGCTGGCAAGTAGCAGACCTATGGAATGCTGCCTCACTTATTTTTATGTTTCATTCATAAATAAAAAGAAAAGTCTGGTCAGAAACATCAGGGTCGAAGTGCTTTAAAAGTTAATCTTATCATCATCTCACTTGGCCGTAAATATTCTTAAAATAATTGGTCGTCTTCTCTCTAGGGAAGCCAGGTTAGCAAGAAGGTATTAAAAGGAGCTTTTTCACTTTCAGTGAAATGAAGATGCCTAAGACAAAGACTCCTGATAGGTTATGTGAGGTTAGCTTCAGTTACATACATATCAAATGCATGTCAGCCAAAAACACTTGTGAATATAGACTTTAAAAATTTTTTCACATATTTATTTAAAAACTATATTAGCAACATATTTTTCTTCCAGATGAAAGTTTCAACACTCCTCTTTTTGTGAAAGAAAATGTATCCATAGAAACTAAAATCTTAACGAGTCGGGCTTTATTTTATTTTGACTGTAGAAGTTTTAGGTTTTAAAAATAGTAACCAGCTGATTTCTGTCGTTTCTACAGCCAGGATATAATAATAGATTTCCTGTTCACAGACTTCTTATGATAAGGTGGGCCCGTATTGAAGGCTGTACTGAATCTTGAGCAGGCATTCATTCTCTGTGGAACTGGGTGTGTGGACAGTTCAGATGTAAATCTATTCCCTGTTTTGAGAAACATTTGCCTTATAAATTGTCTGGGAAACTCTTTTTAATTTTAGAGTCATTCTTTTACGTAATACCAATTCCATAAATGGACTTTTCCCTAGTATTGGGGATACTTCCTGGATATGCATTCAGAAGATAGTTTCTGTTTGTACAGAAATAGTATAAGTAGGAATTAGAAGTTTTACTTTGAGCATTCCAGGTGCTTTTACTTATCTAATGCTAACTCAGACTCCTCAAATTGCTAGATGGATTTGGAAACTTGCATGTAAAATTCTTCCCCATGTCTGCTTACAAGACAGTCTAATACAGAACTTTTGTATCTCCATGCCTAAGGAATTTTATACTTCATTGAAATTGGAGGCTAAATGGGAGCCTATCTGCACAGTAATAGCTTACTTACTTTGTATTATTTCTGACTTTTAGCCAAATGACTATCATGGAGTTTAAATATGTAGCCATGGTCAATAATTCATGAATTAGCTACCAGTGTATTCAAAACCTGAAGTTCCTACTGTAAAAACTGTTTCTTCCCATCAATAATACAAATGTGCTGTCATAATCACCTTTATTAGAAATAAATGCTTCCCTTGCCTCTTACACTCCTGTCTACCTCCTGTTCCAGTTCTTTGATCTTCTTGAAAAGAGCTTTCCGTAGCCTTGCCTGTACCTGTTGTCTCACCTGCTCATTCCCCTGAGCATGCTCCAGGTGGATTCTGGAACCCACCACATGACTGAAATGGCTCTATTTTGCCACAGCCTGTTAATGTCCTGATTGAATTCCTTGTCTTAGTTGACCTGATGCAGTTGACTTCGAGCTTCTCATTAGCATTCTCTGCGACACCCTGGAGGCCTGACGACTTCTGTCCTTTCTTCTTGCTGGTGGCTCATTCTAAGTGTTCTATGCTGATTTTCTCCCTGACCTCTTCATTGACCATGCCTCAGGAGATCTCAGCCCCCTTGACTTCTCCATCTGACCTCCATGGATCTCACAGACTTTGTGTGTTTGACATCAGGCACTGATCCCAGCCTTCTGCACACCCATCCTTCTGTTGATTTGTCTTCATCACCCCCTTTCTCTCAACTCTGTTTGGCTCTATCTTCAGAATACGCAGGCTTTCCTTACTGCCTCTATCACTGATGGCCCCTCTATCACTGATAGCCACTGCCATCTCTCTCCTGTAGGTGGTCCTTCTTCTGCCCCCTGTGCTCAGCCAGTTTTTTTCTCAAGGGCTCTGCATTTCCATCCTGGTAAGAGCCACATTATTACGGGTCTTTCCTCTTGTCGAATGCAACTTTTCAGAAGTCAGGAATCTTTGTTTCATTCCCAAGCCTAAGACAGTGCCTGGTACACAGAGAGACCCCTTATGATCTCTAATGGTCCCTCAGTATTCGGGGTTCTACACTCACAGATTGAACCACCCACAGATCAAAAATATTCAAAAAAACATTAAAAATCATACAAATAATAATTCTGTATAAAAACTATTTACATGGAATTCACATTGTATTAGTTATTATTAGTCATCTAGAGACGATACAGGAGAAGGTGCAATAGGTTATTCAAAGTACTATGACATTTTGTATAAGGAATTTGAGTATCCCTGGTTTTTGATGTCCCTGGGAAATCCTAGAACTGATCTCCTGCAGATACTGAGGAACACATGTAATTGTTGAATGAATAAAAGTGGTAGTAAGTTCAGGCTATGCTATTCCATAATGGTTTTAATGTGAACATATATTTACGGGATGTTATTTTTTATACTTATCCTTTAATTTAACCTAGAAGAGGTAGAGAGTGATCCTTGTAGTCTTTGTTTTTATTCTTTTTAATGACAAAATTATTACTCTAGTAGTATAATAAGTAGGTAGAATCATGGTTATAGCTTTTAAGCAAGAAGGGAACATAGACATTATATAATTTGCTACACATGATGAAAAGACCCTGATTTGTTTGATGTCTTATTATTAGCTACCGTGACAGCTGCTAGGAACACACAGGAAGCTCATGACTTGTAGTCCTCTGCTTCTGAGACTACAGTTCAGCTCTGTGAGATACCTATCTATATTGCGCAAGATGGATATAGTCATTACCCTCTTGGAGTTTACCATCTGCTGCCTGAGCTGGAGATGAGCAATTATTTACAATTATAAAGAGAGTGACAGTGTGCTACAACCTAGCATGTAGCCAGGAAAAGGGAACATAGCCCGGGACTCAGGGAAGCCCTCTTGGTGATTTGCTAGAATCTGAAGATGCATAAGAAAAAGTTTGGCCATGAGAGAAGAAGAAAATTCTAGGCACATTGAACAACCTATAAATAAAGGCTCAGAGTGGGTAGATTGTGTATGAGAGAAACCATGTGCAAAAGCCTGAGGGAACTTAGAGGACAAGGGAGGAGAGCTTTGGATAGATAATAAGCTGTGTAAGAGCTGGATTTCGGGAAACTTTATAGACCATGGCAAGGAGTAGCTAGACTTGAATGGTAGACTGTTGTAAGGTTTGAAGCAGTGGAGTAGATACCCTTGGAAGTCATATATCATTTTAGTTTCAGTTTATTGTCAATGGCATAAAAGCAGAGTGAACACTGATCTACAAGTTGATTGTAACCCCCAAACACATCAGGGATTAGCAAGAGACATGGGCAGTACAGTTGTCCGGCCATTCTGGTCAACACCACAGTACTTTGCTGTCTGGCCTGGACTTCTGCTTTGAATTGGCTTTCTGATGATACTTGAAATAATCCCATCTTCTTTCACCCTGGACCTGATAGCTACCCTATTTTTTAAATCTTGTCTTGCATCCTGATGCCCTAAAATGCCAACTTCTCTATTACACTCTCTCACCTTCTGTCAGCCAGTGGAATAGAGTCCTAATAAGTTGTGTTGGTCACTGAGGTTCATTTCTTTTAGCATGTAGCTTGCAGTCAGGAGTTTCAAAGGAATCCTGCATTTGCTGTCCGTATTGCTTTGCCTCATTAAAAATGTTTGGGTTTTGAAAGAGCAATTTAATTTCCAACAACTTAGAATTTATGTCACTCATTCCAGTTGACATGATTTAATTTTCTTTTGATTTTTTTTTGTTTTGGATGACACAGGTGAAATGTTTTGAGTTATTACTGCTGTGTGTTCAGCTGCTTTTTATTTCTTCTGTAATTTACAGTTCTCTCGTGTGCTGAGGAATCGAGCGTGGCCCACCTTTAAACAAGCCAAATCTAAGATCTCCCCACTGCACAGCAGTGATTTCTGCCCTACCAACTGCCATGTCAATGTGATGGAAGTTTCTTATCCCAAAACATCAACCTCTCTGGGGAGTGCCTTTGGTGTTCAGCTGGATAGTAGGAAGCATAATTCTCAGGATAAAGAAAGTAAATCTTCTGAGCAAGGTATGTTGGCTTTTGAAATTTTATTACACATGAACATTTAGGCAATTATAAGCATTGCTGCATTTTATAATATGTTAGATTGCTGGTATGCAAGCAATCCTGCCCTTAAAAAAAAAAAAAAGGAATTCTCACGTGGATAGTTATATGCATGCACAAGTGTATACAGAGTGAAATTGGAGTTAGGCATTCATTATTATTTTTCTTTCAAGAAAGACAGGATGATTTAAAATTAAAATTCCTCATATCTATGATAAGCATAGCTCATCTTGAGTGTGAAAGCCATTAATCTGAAATGGCTTTATAACTTTGGGGAAAATCCCAGAGGAACTGGTTAGAAATGCATGAATGCCAATCTGCATCATTGCAGTGGGATGAGGGATTGGACTCTTTGTAGCTTTTAATTACTGCTCCCCACAAGATTTAATTCCTCAATTAAATTCAGTGTTGGATTGGGATTCTGTTGTATACCAGCCTCTAAAATGTATTGGACTGGATAGTCATACATTTAAGGTAATAAATATTACTGTGGAATGATTTTGATTCCTCAGGGAAACTGAGCCCCATGGTGTACATTCAGCACACCATTACAACCATGGCAGCCCCTTCAGGACTGTCCCTGGGACAGCAGGATGGCCATGGCCTTCGGTATTTGTTGAAAGAGGAAGACTTAGAAACTCAAGATATCTATCAGAAACTTCTGAGCAAAATCCAGACTGCCCTGAGAGAAGTGGAGATGTGTGTTTGTCAAATAGATGAGTAAGTGTTTTATACTATACTTTAAAGTTTGCCTAATAAACAATCAGTAGAAAGTGGGACTTTTGAAAAATGTGTTCATTCTTTAGATTTAGGTAATGTAGGAAATTTGTGCTAATCATACAGTTCGTCTTCATTTTCCAGTATTCCATGGATAGATAGATATTTTAAGTAGACATTTAATACCAGGGAAGAGAATGACAAAATTCTATCTTATAGAGGAAAACTAAGTCTCAGTGTGAAAATATGACGTGAATAATTTGTTTAAAACTGTAACAGCTGAGTATGAGGATTTTCTTGTTATTTTTTTGCAATTGAAATTCCTGATATTTGATGTATGTACCCTGGAGATATTTATGCAGATGCAAAATATAATAAATGTTTAATATAGTTGTTAAATGAGAAAATACAAAAAATGTACCTCCAGGATCAATACTTTTTTTTTTTTTTAATTTTCTGTTTCACTTACTGGCCCACAAAGCAATAGCCCAAATTGCCTGGCCAGGAAGCAGTTCATGAGAAGTTTTCTATCTACATCAATCCTAACTCTTCCTTAAGAATTTGACAGTTGATAGCTGGGCACTGTGACTCATGCCTGTGATCCCAGCAGTTTGGGAGGCTAAGGCAGGAGGATTATACATTGGATGCCAACCTCAGCAACAAGCAAGGCCCTAAACCACTTTGCAAGACCCTGTCTCTAAGTAAAATAAAAAAATTTAAAAGAGCTGGAGATATAGCTTAGTGGTACCCACCCCCATTCCCCAACCTGGGTTTAATCCCCGGTAGCACCAAAACAAAACAAAACAAAACAAAAAAACCCCTAAGGGTTGGAAAATTCTCTGCACTCCATGGGACTGTAGGATGACTTGTCATATTCTTTTCTGTGATTATGCTCCACATTTAGTCAAGTATGGTCAGAATAGCATGGCTTTGGGCATAGGTCAGTTCCTTGTATATTGAAATAGATAATAATGAATTTCAAGTTTCTGGTGACAGTTATAGAAAATAACTCAGAAAGCAGTCAGCATAGTACCAAATATCATGCTTGCTCAGTCATTCAATAGATGGAAATCTTTGAGTATCTCCCAAATTGGAATATTCTGAGAACAGTTATAAACGACATCATCTTGTTTGCATTTTATCTTTATGAAGTTGTTGATTTAATTTGCCAGCAGATGTGTATATGTTTCCTTCACGCACTCATATCATCCCATACCTTTATGTATAATTCATCTTAGACAAAGTGTTTAAAATTTATTGCATGCTTTTGTAGTAATCAGGCATTATACTAGTGAAGTCTTAATTGACATGATCTCTTATTTTACATATCTTTGAAATTTGGAGATCAAAATAGATACATTATATTTTTAAATTACCTTCAATTACTATTCTTTTTTCCTGAAGTTTTAGGGGTGATTTAAAATTAAAATCCTATTTTTCTATGTCTTATGAACTAGCTTTTTAAAATGATAACATTTCTATATTAAACTGTAACTTTCCTGCTTATAGATGAATTAAGCCACCTGAAGTTGCTAAGAAAACTATTTTTAAGCAATTGCATTATATTTTTGAATTGCCTTGAAACTCAGTAACAGAAGTTTATAATAAGTCATATTTTGCTTAATCTAATAAATGTGACTTTATTACGTGATGTGTTCTACTTTAGATACCAGTTCTTTTCCCCTTGAGGTATTTAAAAAAATATGTAAAAGAAGCATTTTTATCAATGAGGCAATAAATAATGGTATTGAATCATTGATGCCAACTTTCTAAGGAATTTTATGAGAATATCTGGCTCAATCTCATACTTCTGAATGACCCGTTTGTTGGTGGCAGGATTATTGATGTGCCTCAGCTGAAACTGCTTGAGAAACTAAGCCTCTAATGCCCTGACTGGCCGGCAGTGCCTGGCAATCATCAGACCATTAATTGATTGACTTTTTTTTTTTTTAAAGAAGTAGGTACTGTCAATACATTTTCAAGAAAAATGTTGGAGCCAAAGAGGTTCCTTTACTTGATCTGAAATGTTTGTATTTAAAGCATTAACTGTTGAAAGGCATTAGGTGTTTTTATTAGCTAGAACTACTTAAAATGATTAATTATTCTTCTCGTTCCCCCCATTCTGCTATTCTAAAAGCCTTTACCCAGCTCTGTATGTTTATCAGGAAAGTGACATGACGTGAGCCAGTGATCAGTGCAGCTAGCCTGGTCTTCTCTTTGCATACCATGTAATTTAATTCTAAATATAAACATGTTCCACACAATTCAATCTGCAATATAATCACTTTAAAACAGTACAGTGTCCAAGTGCCTGGATTCCCTGTTGCCCTTAGTATGCAGAGATGCTACATTGCATTCGAGCTTAACAATTTATTTAAAAGCCAGTTAACAAGCAATTTTCTTGCCATATAGTAATTATTCTTGGTCAGGGTGGAAAAGCAGATCTCAGATGCTTTGCCAAGTTTTAAAAGAAATTGCCTCTTAAGAAGTTGCTTATTCCTAAGAAGGGCTGGTGTTGAGCTTGTCTTATCATGAAATCTAGACACCCTGCCACTTGAAAACACTTCTAGAAGTAAAATTTTCTTTAATACATAGGCATTTTGCTAAATCCTCCTACTTAACTTCAGACCCTAAGATAGAGATGAATTTGCTATCTAGTAACACAAGATAAGGTGATGTGATGAATTTAATCAAAGCTGTATGATTGCTCTTTCACTTTGGGACACTAAGTACTTTTGTCCTTGAATGGGCTCTTTCCAGTTAATGACACTGAGATTTGAAATATGTAAAACCAAAAAATAATTTGTGAATAGCCCCAATTCTATTTTAAATTAGAGGATTTGTGTGTTCTTCCAGGGAGGAAACAAATAGAACATTGGGGAATAGGAAAGTTAGGAAATTTGGGAACAGATTTCATTTTGCAGATGCCCCAAGATTAAGACATGAATTGACTGCATTATAGGACAGTTAGTAACCTGGGGGTAGGTGGTCATCACAGATGGAAAGGCTAGTGGAATTATCTTTGGCATTTCCTCAATCTTTTTGTTGAAAAAATGTACAAATAGAAGCATAGATTGATAAAAAGCAGCATCTATGATAGGTGCTCTGTGCCAGGCAGGGTTATGCTGCTGTATACACTAATTTCCTTCTCACAGTTCCTCTCTGCTTTGTATTATGAAACCCTGGGATGTATCCCAGACATTTGAAGCTTAACTTTGTTTCCGAAACTGAATTATGATTTCCTTATCCTCAAATCTCTTTTGACCCTTCTCTACCTTGGGCTTCCCCTTCTCAGAAGATGATTCCCTATCTCTTCAGTTTCTCAGCCAGAACCCAATAGTCATCTTTGGTTCTTCTTTTGCCTTCCCCCAGCTCTGATTCGGCACCAGGTGCTGTCAGTTATACCTCTGAATGCATTCACATCTGTCCCTTTAGATTGAGTTAGCATCCCCTCTCACTAGCACCACCGGAGGAGCTTCCACTCTGTGATTTGCTCTGATACATTCTATATTCAGCAGATGCCCGAGGGACCTGGAAAGCTAAATTGTGTAGTCCCCTGCCTAAAACCAGGAAACCACATTATTCTACAGTGAAGCTAGGGCTGTTCCTTGGTATTCACAGGAGATAGCTTTGAGGATCCCCTGCAGGTACCAAAATCCCAGGATGTTCAAATCCCTTATATCAAATTGTTTATTATTGGTATATAACATGTGCCAAACCTCCTGTATACTTTAAATCATCTCTAGATTATTTATAATACCTAGACATTATAAATATTATGTAAATAATTATACATTGTATCATGTAGGGGATAATGGCAAGAAAAAATTGTGCGTGTTCAGTACAGATAGTTTTTTTTTTCCTGAATATTTTTGATGTGTGGTTGGTTAATCTATGGATGCAGAATCTATTGATATGAATGTGTTATTGGGGCCTGCAATTTCCTACATGGTCTGCCCCTGTCTGCCTCTCCAAACTCATCTCACTGAGCTGCAGCTTCAGTAGACGCTTTCTGTTACCAGAACTCTGACCCACTTCAAGGTGCTCTGCCTGGTGGGCACTGCCTCCCAGGTCTGCATGTCTGAATTCCTGAGTGCTCAAGAGTCAGACTGATGGCTGACCCATTTAGAGGTTTGCCTGTCCTCCAATTAAAGTAGATAATCCTCTGTCCGTGATACTCAGACCTCTCTTCTCTGTACATCTCTGTGTTACACTGGCTTTTCACCCCCTTTATCATTCACAAAATAAGTCTCACAGACAACAGAGGTTTCTGTGTCACTCACTCTGAGTCCACCTTGGCCCACCAGGTCTCTGTTCCACACTGTGTTCCCTCAGAGTCAAAGACAAGTGCCCCATCAGACGGAATGTTTCTGACTGTCATGGCAGGAGAAGGGAATGAGGCAAACTGTGTACTGGTGTGTGTAGAGGCTTCTACCTACAAGTGATCCCATTCACAACCACTCACATTACTTTAGCTAAAGCAAAGCCCATCCTCAAGAGGCTAAGGGAGCACCTCCCAATCATGTGCTCACACTAATGACCCTTCTACTTCCTCCAGAGCACCTAAGGCATACGCAGGAAGAGAAGGTTATGCTTCATTTGCAAAGCATGTGCAACAGTGGATCTGTCCACCTCTGAAATGAAATAACAATAATGTTACTTGCTTCATAAGACTTGCTTCATAAGACTTGCTTCATAAGGTAGTTTTAGGATTAAATGAATTAATACCTGTTAAGTATCATAGGGATGGACATAAAGAGCATAACAAATGTTACTTGTGGTGAGGATGAGGATTATATTTTAAAAGCACAAGTAGATGAAATCCACTGTGCACAGAAATCTTTATCAGTGACATTAGGAGGTGACTGATCTGGAATTAAATGCTGCCCAGAATTTTAATTAATGGACCTTTAGTAAATAGCTTAATATTATATATGAACAAAAGCAAAGCAAAATGCTTTTGCATGCACAAATGAGTACTATAGTCTGATGCCTTATTATTGCTTTTTAGAATCTGGAAATTTTATGTGAGAACATGGTGTTGAGAACAGGTTTTCCTATCATTTATTTTTAAGCTTAAACACTTGTTCCCATAGGGTCAGTGTAAGCATGATTGCAACTGTTTAAAATGAAAAGTAAATACGTGAAAATAATTCTCATTACTTTGAGAAAATATATTATGCTTAGCTCTATGACTTCTAATTTAAAATATACATAAGCGCAGAGGGCTGTCTGCAAAATGAGAACTCCTGCATATCTTTCCTCTTTGATATTCAGAGTTCATCTGTCTGTGTAGTGTGGTGCTTGGGTAATTGGAGTTACTCTAATGTTTTAATCTTTGGGGTAGAAGGAGTGAATAAATATACAATCTGTCTTACAAGACATTAAAAGTATATTTCCAAATAGAGAAACTGTTTAAAATAATTCATAACTTTCAGTTATTGAAAATGCTCACAGAGCCCTTGAGCTATGTAACAGGGCTCCTTCAACCACCACTGATGTCTAAAACCTATGAAATGCTAAAATAGTATTCAAAGATCATTTCACAGTGACACTGTCCTCAGCTATACTATTTGAAATTGTAGCTCCATGTTTTCTTTGTTCTTCTCCTTAACATTTGTCACTCTTTGTTATGCTCTACAGTTTACTTGTTCACTGTTGATCTTCTTCCAGGGAATTTTACACTCTGAAGAAGGCAGGGACCTTTGTGTTTTGTACACAGCTGTATCCACACCACTACAAATAACACCTGGTGCAACAAGTGTGCTTAATTAGTGAGACCTCTCAACAAGGATTTCACTCCACACACAGCTTTGGGTTTGATGTTAGGGAATATGTATAAGAGGTAGAAAACTACCAAATAATGAAATGAACATTTTCATTGTTATGAAAAAATAAATGTCAAGACTCGTGCTATTGGTTGGAACTCAATGTCCAACCAATGTCATAAGCATGTAGTATGAGCTTGTTCTGGCTTGAAAGCCAGCCATGGGATCTTGCTTTAGATGTGGCTTAGTTAATTGAGTGAGTTTTATAGCATTCTGTTGGATAATAAAGCCCAATTACGCCTTTGCTTGATTTTGAGTTAGTTCTAATGGAAGCATTTCACGGCCAAGCATCCAGGCCTTAGAGTGGTGAATCCAGCAGGTCGCAGTCTTCCCCAGGCCTCACACCACTCCATTTCCATAAGGTGCTCCAGCCTTGAGCCAAGAGGAAGAGGTCCTCATTTGGGCCGATTTGTGATATTTCATTCTGGCCACATTGCAGATGAGACTAAGACTAGAGTAGTCCCTGTTTCCTCCTGTAGTCACATTGATGTGACTCTGTTTGGTGACTTGTAATCACTAAGGTCAGACTCCTGCTTGTCTGAGTAGCCAGTGAGAAGCCATTGACAAAAGGACATTGTCCCTGTCAAGTAGAACAGACCTGGGAAAAACCCCAGGTGGAACTTGGCGGGTAGATGTGTTTTTACTATTTGAGGGTGAGCCAGTGAGGATAATAAAGCACAGTTAGTGTGGGTTTAATATTTAGTAAGCACTTTAAACTTTACCAGGTGTTTTCACGTGGTGGTGATAGCAGTAATGGTGAGACGAGAGGAGATGGCTATTGTGCACCAGGAATATGTGGCTCTCATTTCCTTCCATAGCACCATGTGGGCTAGTTATTCTAATCACCCCACTTGTCCCAGCTTTGTTCTGATAACAAAGCTGATCAGTGGCAGAACCGGGATCCAAACATAGTTTTCTGGCCTAAATTGTGTGTGGTTTCTTTATGAATTCTAAGCAGAAAATGTGAGCTGTCTACTATGTGATTTTTTTTTTTTCTTTTCTTTTCTTTTTTTTTTTTTAGTACTGGGATTGAACTCCGATGCATTTCAACCACTGAGCCACATCCCCAGTCCTATTTTATATTTTATTTAGAGACAGGGTCTCGCTGCATTGCTTAGTGCCTCTCCTCTTGCTGAGGCTGGTTTTGAACTCGTGATCCTCCTGCCTCAGCCTCCCAAATCGTGGATTTTAGGTGTGCAGCACCACAACCACTCTACTACATGCTTTTTATGCAAGAGGATATGTATTTGATGTGCAACATGGGAGTACTCTGGAAATATTTATAAGCCTATCATATTAAACAAATAAGGAAGTTATTGGTAGCAGCCAGTATGAAAATATGCATTTATCTTTTTTTTCAAATATCACTTTTCAGCCTTCTATCTTCAATCACATATTCTCCAAAATTGGAGCGTAAGACCTCAGAGGGCATAATACCAACAGACAGCGACAATGAGAAGGGAGAAAGAAACAGCAAACGAGTCTGTTTTAACGTAGCAGGAGATGAGCAGGAAGATTCGGGTCATGACACCATCAGCAACAGAGACTCATACAGGTAATTCATTCGTTGTCCACCTCATTTCACCTGTGATGACCAGCCCCAGTCAAAGCATAGTGGGACAGCATAATCTTTCAAATACTTGCCTTATGTAACCTGAGTAACTTGGAAAGAACATTTTTTCTCTAGCTGTGTGGACCTAATTTGGGAGACTTGTTCTAAAAATGGATTGTGTAACATGGAGAGAAGGTAAGAAAATCGTGCCTACATTTACTGTTTTTGTTGTTGTTATTTGTTTTTTTGGATATCTGTTTGAGATCATTGGTTTGTTGGGAACTAAATGGGAGTTCTTTTTTGCCCTGTTTCTCCCTTTCTTCTTAAATTCTGTGTTCCAGAATAACTGGAAAAATTCCACTTGCCCAACTCCATAGCCCAACTTTGTGTTTGTTTTTTCTCTTGGATGCTTTTTTAAAATTCTAATTTGTCATATAGGACAGCAGAATGTACTACAATTCATATTATACATATAGAGCACAATTTTTCATATCTCTGGATGTACACTTGGATACTTTTTGTATTAGTTTGCTAGGGCTGCCCTAACAAAGTACCCACACTGGGTGGTATAAACAAGAGAAATTTATTAACAGGGAGTTCTGGAAGCAGGATGTCTGAAACCAAGGCATTAGCCACCTTGGTTTCTTCTGAGGGTAGAGGGACAGTTTTTCCAGGCCTGCTTGACATGTAGATGGTCATCTTCTTCCCATGTCTCCTTACATTGTCTTCTCTCCATATGTATCTTTGTGTCCAGATTTACCCTCCATATAAGGACACTGGTCATATAATTAATAACCAACCCCAGTGACCTCATTTTATCTCCATTACCTCTGTATAGACCACATCTCCGAATAAGGCCATGTTTTAAGGTTCTGAGTGTTAGACTTTATCATATGAATTTTGGGAGTGTGCAGTTCAACTTTCCTCTCCAGAGTCTGCTGTCATGTTCTTTTAGATTCTCAGGTGAGGCTTTCTCCAGTGAATTTCCTTCTTTGAAAGTGCCTTTTCTCCCTTGAATCCTTATATCCCCCGAAGCCTCATTGAGGACTGTTGCAATCAATCAGCCACAGATGCTGCGTGGGCAGCTGGGACATATCCTGAGCCATTTACATTGAAGGCAAAAGCTACCTTATTCTCTCATTTCTTATGCAGCATTTTTCAATGAAAAGATATCATGTGAATCTTAATTACATCAAAGTTATTCCTACAAGGGATGTATATCACAAAGTAATAAGTAACATTAAAATTTTTTTTTAATATACTTTTTTTTTCTTTGTTGGTGGTGGGGATGGATACCAGGGCTTCATGCACATTAAACCTGTATTCTACCACTGAAATATATTTTTATCAGACTCATGGGGGAATATGATGATTTCAGATATTTTCCCACCACAGCCCCATGTGGTAGGTTCTGATAGTAACTCCATTTTACACAGAAGGAAGCTGAGCCCCATTTGAGTTGCATAATTTAGCTACATGACCAGGTTGTCTGGCTTCACCGTTTCTCTATTATCCCAATTTCAGTGTTTCTGGGAAGAATTTTAATGAATACATAAAAGCTAATTTTTTTCCTAGAGATTTGATAATATATCACACAGATTAACTACCTTTACCATTTCATTTACTTTTAGCATCTAAAGAGAGCAGCATGCTCTTTAATGGGAATCTGTGGTTTTCCTCTGGTGGGAAATTACATGTTTTAAAATACTTTCTACCTCACGTTCTAGTTATCAGATAATTAAAATTACCCTCACAGCCTCCCTCTAGGCTAAGAAAGAAACTTAAAGTTAAGTAAGTTCTTTTTACTAACTCTAAGAGGAAAAAAAATTAACTCCTGCACCATTTCTGAAATCCTATTTAGGCCCATATTCACACCCAAATAATTCAAACATCTTTCCTTGGATATTCATCATTATTGAGTATTTACCTGCGGGGATAGTAAATACCTCTGGTATTTATTTCCCTAAGGGAGTTCAGAATATTACCAATAACTTGCAATTTAAGCCCTGAAAAGGTTTGAAAGGCAGAAATCATGAAACAGGATTTTGATCCTATAAGCAAATTAGCTGCAGGCCTGTGTCACCAAAATAGATCATGAAAAATTTTATGTTTGGTTTGACTCCTTAGTATTATTATTACACATTTTTAAAAATTCACTTAGGATCGGAGTATATGACATAGCAACATTTGAAATTTGATTAAATATGCATTTTTTTTAAAGTGAGATATGTCAAGTCAAAGGAGCTTTTCAGTCTCATAACTTTGTAGAAAGCATATTAAGAAACATGGCGGAGGCATAAACTCCCATAATAAGTACTAGCAGAGGACTTGGGCAATCGTATCCTTAAAGTGATGTGAAACCCATTCTTTTCAGTGACTGCAACAGCAACAGGAACTCCATCGCCTCCTTTACCAGCATTTGCAGCAGCCAGTGCAGCTCCTATTTTCACAGTGACGAAATGGACTCGGGTTCGTTTGGCAAAGGCATTTGTGTTTTCTGATGTTGGTGTCATTGCAGATAACTTTAAGGGATTAGTTTCTTTGATCCATAGGCCAAGTTACCTTTTATCAGTCATTCTCAGTGGTTGCATGTATTGCCTTCCAGTTTTATGTGCTAGATAAAGTCGATGCGCCAGTCTCAATTACAGAGGGAATGAATTAAAAAAAAAAAAAAAGAAATGAAAGAAGCAGGCTCCATTTTTATCTTATGTGTTTTATGGGCTTTCTAAGGTAGTGTCAAGGATCATAAGTATAGAGGAAATGAGTTTTACTGGAAGCATGAGGCATTGTTGATTGGGGTGGAGGTGTGAGAAGGATTTTCAAAGAAAGGATTTTCTTAAGACAATAGGTGTTCCTGAGCAAGCCTTCCACGTGGGAGATGGAAAGAGGGATGGTGAGAAAAGCAGGGGGTGATCTAAATAGCTTCAAAAGTCGTCTTTCTTGGGTATAAAGAAAAGAGAATTTTAATCCAGTGAAAACAAATCTTAATTCTTTGCTGTGCAGTTTGATTCAACCCTTCAGCCACTAGAAAAACAGACCCTTGGAAAGACTCCTGAGCATGGGGCAGCCAGGGTTCTTTCTGTATGTCATTCTGCTCTCCCTTGTTTGGGGAGGAGCCGTGATCTGACTTCTCAGGTGTTCTGAACACTTTTGGAATTATATTTTTGCACATGACAACTAATGTGGAATAAGAGCTCGTATTCAATTTTTTTTTAACTTTATTTAATGTGAAAATATTTCATGAAATAAATGACTTTTTTTTTTTTCTTTTGGATATCTAGGAGATGAACTTCCCTTAAGTGTTCGAATTTCTCGTGATAAACAGGATAAGATACATAGTTGCCTTGAGCATCTTTTCAGCCAGGTATGACAGGATGGTTTTCAATCTTTTTTCCACAGAAAAAAACTTCTCAAATGTGATAATAACAGTCTGTAGGTAGAATGGAAAGTTCCTCCTTTGCCCTCAATTTGAAAAGGGAACAAAGAGTTCTTCAGCCAAAAGACACTGTTGTGAATATCAAATATTTTATAGTCCTTGAAAACTTAAAAGTATTAAACACATAGAAGATAGCTTTTAGATTATTTGTGTGTGTGTGTGTTTTTTTTTTCTGTTTGTGTGGGTGGGTTTTCAGAATACTTTGACCTTTCTCGCTACTCACTCAACACCATTCTTAATTTCAAAAGGTACAAGATTATCCTGGTTTTCATGTTGCTGTTTTGAATTAAAAAAATTATAACCATAATCAAAATTAGTAGTATAGAAGCCTCTACTACTTTGAAAAGGATTCCAGTAACTTTTAGTTTAGTAACTGCCGAAATTCCACTTTCTTTTGTAAAGTAAATTTATTTTTTATATTAATGTGTGGTAAGAGAATAAGATTTTATTGGAATTGCTTTCAGGGGAACAGGTGTTTATTACAATATTTTATTCAAAGACACATTTTTTAGCATTGTGGGATTTCAAAAACAATTGTTTCTTTAAGAAAAACATATTTAGACAGGTGTGATGGCCCATGGCTGTAATCCTAGAATCTCTAGAGGCTGAGGCAGGAGGATCACAAGTTCAAAACCAGCCTCAGCACCTTAACAAGGCCTTAAGCAATTTATTGAGACCCTTTCTCTAAATAAAAAAAATTTAAGAAGGTCTGAGGTTGTGGCTCAGTAGTAAAGTGCCTCTGCTTTCAATCCCCAGTACCATGAAAAAAAAATTTTTTTTTCAACAAGACTTACTCTTAGGAATATTTATTATGTCTTAGGACAAGCATGTAACTCTTGGAAATCTGCTATTGACAGGTGGATTCAATTACCAATCTCCTAAAAGGACAAGCTGTTGTGAGGGCCTTTGAGCAAACTAAGTATCTCACACCAGGTCGAGGATTACAAGGTAAGGTTTAAAAAATAAGTAGTACAAGAAATCTGGAAACAAAAGGTAATAGACAATATAGTCATGGAGGAAATACATTTTATAAGAAAAAAATGTGATTGCTTATGTTTCATTATTCAATGGATACTACCTCTATTTTGATAATTTTCAAATATGTTAACTATTAGTACAGTTTTTTTTATAGATCACTATGAACCTTTTAGGTTTCCTTGAAATTTTAATTTTAATATCAACAGTGGCCAGGGTAAACAAAAATGTATCAATTGAAGATACATAAGTATTAAGCTGCTTTTGCTGAATTCAAAAGTGATGCCTACTTGGTCATTTCCTAGGGATGAGAAACTGGCCTGGGAATGTGAATTTGCAAATAGAGCAGTCAGGCAGAACAAGATATAGAACTGCCACTCTCTGACATCTAGTTTAGAATGTATAAAGTAGAACTGTTTTCTAAATTTGCTTCTTTTTGAAACATCTGTAAGAAAATGACATTAAGGTTTGACTTTTTAAGATTTAACCAATTCTGCTGTAATTAAGCTAAAGAAATTACCATCTTGATATTATAGGATGAGTGTGATTAAACCACAACAACAACAACAACAACTTTGAAGCCTGTGGGTTGCACTGTTTGGGACTTGGTTGAAAATTAAAAGAGATTTTCTGTATTCATTTAGAATTTCAACAGGAAATGGAACCAAAGCTGAGTTGTCCAAAAAGGTTAAGGCTTCACCTCAAGCAAGATCCTTGGAATCTTCCCAGCAGCGTCCGGGCTCTTGCTCAGAACATCAGAAAATTTGTTGAAGGTCAGCATGAAAAGCAAAGAATGTTGCATGATATCAGCAGTAATAATTTTAAAACCCATTAAAACCAAAAGTCCAGTAATGCCTCATCACTTTTCAGTGTTTCATATTGTGAGGAAAATATAAAGGATTGAAATGGGTGAGGAAGAAGTGAGGAGGGAAGAAGATTGCAGAATCTCAGATTCTAAGGATCTTAAAATTGTATAGGGTGTCATTGACAATATTCTCAAAGAATAAAACAAGGCATACTTAGGAAGATAAACTGGACATGGAGAGATCATTTTTCTAAGGGATCACAAAAGGCATGAAGCTAAATTTTATGGAGAGTCAAAAAATTTGAATGTGAATCTGTGTGAGAATCAAATAGGTTGACATAGTTTTTATCATCAGTTTTAAAGTTTCTTTTTCAGAAGTGTTAGTCTCAGTTATTATCATTGGCTACCGTGATATTACTTACACAACATCCTCTAATTTGTACAACCTATAAATTGGAGAGTAAAACATGGAGAATACTACACTGAGTCTGATTGTATGTAGTTTGGGGCCAGAGTAATTAAGTAGACAATTCTGAGAGTTTCCAGTATAGTTATGATAGAAAACATAAAATGAGAAGTTTTGCATAATTTTAAGAACTTTATAATTTAACAGTTCTCTTCTCAGTGACTCGGCTAGTGACTAGCAATGTCTGGAGATGCATTTGCTTGTCACAGTTGTGAGTGTGCTATTGGCACCTAGTGGGTGGGGCCAAGGGTGCTTCTCAACTTTCTGCAATGCCACAATGTCACAACCAAGAATTATTTGGCCCAAAATGTTGATAGAGCTGAGGCTGAGAAACATACAGTAAATATCATGCCTGTGTTTACATTTTTATTCCTCAGTCCTTTGTATGTCAGTTGGGTTTGATAGATAATATTCAACAGGATTCCAGCATTTAGAAAGAGTTATATACTTTGCTGACAAAAGGTGTTCTTAGTGTCTGATGAAGCCTGAGCCTGCCACTCAACTCCTTTATGCCTCAGCTTTCTCATTTATTAACTGACAAAGATGGATTAAGTATTCTGTGATTACTAAGTCTTCTGCATAGAAATATACTCAAATGTAGCAGCTCATATAATGTTTAAGATTGGAAAATTTTGTGTAGCTATGGAAAAATATTGCAAATAAATCATAGTAGTTCTATTGTGTGATGAAATATTTTGTTCGTGACAGCTGGATTTATTAGCCATTTTTTAGTTTTATGGCTTCATATCACAGTTACCTGGGATACTTTTTGGTATCATATTGAAGCAAAAAGTCTGAATTTAAAATCCCAAACTAATGAATAGCAAAATTGATGAACACATTTATTTTTTATAACACGTCATTTTAATTATAAAATAGGCATAACATTAATTTACCATTTGAAACTTTGTGTGTGTGTGTGTGTGTGTGTGTGTGTTTATAGTTCAGTTGCTTTAAGTACATTCTTATTGTCATACAAGCATTATAACCCTCCATCTCTAGAGCTTTTCAGATTTCTCAGACTGAAATTCTGTACTTATTAAGCAATAACTTCCTGTTGATTTTTCCCTTAAGCCCTGGCAACCACTATTCCATTTTCTGTATCTTTGAGTTTGACTCCTTTGAATTTGATTCCTCATGTAAGAGGAATCCCAATATTTGTATTTTAATGTCTAGGTTATTTCATTTGGCATAATGACCTCAAGGCTTGTCTATTTTATAGCATGTGTCAGAATTTCATTTCTTTTTAAGACTCATATTCCATTTTTTGTGCATACCATGTTTTTCTTATTCATTCATTCATTGAGGGACAATTAGGTTGTTCCTACTTTTTGACAATGGTGAATAATGATGCTGTGAACTTTGGTATACAAATACCTATTTAAGTCTCTGCTTTCAATTCTTTCGTATATATGCCCAGAGTGGAATTTCTGGATCTTACAGTTCTATGTTTAATTTCTTGAGGAAATGTCATACTGTTTTCCAAAGTGGCTCCACCCATTGACACATTTTTTAAGTGTTCTTTTTAGATATACATGAGGGCAGAGTGTATTTTGACATATAGTACATACATGGAGTATAACTTATTCTAATTAGGACCCATTCTTGTAATTGTACATGATGTGGAGTTTCACTGGTTATATATTCATATATGTATGTCTGATTCATACTGTCTTTCCTGTTCCCAAACCCTTCCGTTCCCTTCATTCCCCTTTGTCTAATCCACTGAACTTCTAATCTTCCTCTCCCTACCTTCCCTTGTTGTGGGTTGATGAATATGTTTTTTAAAAGACATTGAAGTTTAGGGAATTTAAGCATATACTTAACTGAGCAAAAGCGTAATTTTCTCTGAATAGATGCCACTATCATAATACTCTTGGGAATTGTAAATCTGTAATTCTCGTCATCTTTGAGTTTTTCTTGTTGATGATCAAAAGAAATTAACTTAATTATATTTATTTTTAGAGTAAAATGCATTTATCTATTAGAAATGGAGAAATTCTTAAAACGTCTTTGTTGTTTTTTAAGAAATTTAGATATAGACTTCTAATGTGGGATAAAAACTTAATTTTTAAAAAGATATTCATCTAAGAATCCTGCATTTTCATCTCAAGCCCTGCTTTTAGACTCTGTACCTTGAGTCACAGTGGGCAGCCATAGAAATAACAACTCTACATGTATACTTTGATTGACTGACCAGTTCATATACTGGTACCTCTTTTGGTCATGGGAGCCTAGTAGCTGGTTGAGCATGGTTGAGTGTACTGAGAACTCTTAGTCGGTGGTGGGAGGAGGGCTCTCTGCAAAATTTAACATAATGCCACATGGCCAGAATTTTGTGGTTTAGGTATGTGGATTATGTGGATGAGATGACCCCATTTCTGATGTTTCCTTGTCTCTAATTTCAAAATATCTCATCAAATATATGCCATATAGGATATCAAAATATCACCATTCTATGATCTTTACATAGGGAGGATTGTTACAATGCCATTCAAAAGTTATATTGTGCCACGTGGTGGCTCATACCTGTAATCCCAGCTACCTGGAGACAGACGCAGGAGGATCACAAGTCCAAAGCCAGCCTGGGCAGCTTTGAGACTAGCCTTGAAAATTTAATGAAACCCTGTTTCAAAATTAAGAATAAAAAGAGCTGGTGATGTAGCTCAGTGACCAGGTACTCCAAATTCAATACCCAGTACCACCCCTACACACACACACACACACACACACACGCACACACACACACACACGCACACACACACACACACACACACACACACACACATTGTATCCTTATGCTCTCATCTACTCATAACTTTCTAAATTGAAGAAAGAAGATAGTAGGGAAGTTAGGGGACTCAGTGGGAGACTGGTTAATTGCAAGGTATTACTATGACAGTGCCTATCTCCTGCTTAGTCTCTGAGCTAAATTCTCGTCTCATAGTATCAGGTGAATGAAGATGTGTTTCCCTGAGTAACACAGCATCCCCTTAAATTCAAATGTTTATTAGTCAAAATATTTTTAGTTCTGCCACCTATGAAAATTGTACTCCTTTCAAAATCGGTGTCTTTTTTTAAGCAACCTACTTTTTCATTTTTCCTCTATTTGTCCCAATGTCCTAAAGTATGGCTCTTACTTTTCCTCTTTTTATCATATCCCAGTAACGGTGATGGTTTTCTGGGCTAATCTTTCTTTTTCCATCTTTGCTGATTCATATATACCATTACTGAGTTCACCTTCTTAAAAAACCTTATTTTTTATTTCAGTGCTCTGTCTCAGAGCCTTGTAGTGTTATCTGTTACATAAATCCAAATTTCTCAGTCTGATTTGAGAAGTTATTTTTCAGTGGGACTTTGTAATTTCTCAATCTCAGTCATTTAATACATAATAAAACCTTTCTCTTCTGGATTGTTAAATATTAGTTACTCATTCTGTATTAGATTCCTTTGCTAGCAGTATTTCCCACTCTTAGCATATGTATCTATTCCCCTGACAGTCTGATTTTAAATTTTTGACAAAATATTTTCTAGTCTTAGAATTCTAGCCAAGCCTGAGCTAGGTTTAGATTAGAACAATAATAATCTTATCACACATATACAGAATGTTAAACAATTTTCAAAGACTGAATATCTATTCCCACTCATTTTTTTCTACACTGGGCTGTAAAATTGATAAAGTACATGTTGTTATCATTTATGAATGAGCTAGTTGAGACTTAAAGTAATTTAGCAATTTTCTAAAGCTACAAAGCTAGCATATAACAACTCGGCTTTCTGACTCTTAGTTCAACATACTTCTCTGCCTCTGAAATCCTTGTTTTTGCAGTCTCATAGAATAGCTTGCAGTCTCCTAAAAGTGCTTGCCCTTTGAAGTATTTGCCACATTGCTGACCAGTTAATTCTGTTTCTGACTCTACTATAAACCTGTTTAGAATAGGATGCAAATTAACCTTTTTTGGGTAACTTTGTAAGTTTTAAAATTTACCAATTACAAGTGATCTGGTTGCTAATTGGAAGCAAATGGTAACACATATCTCATTGGACCTATAGCAATGGGTATGAAGTTTAATACACATTTATCAAATATCTGTGATTTGGCTTGTGTAGGATGGGGTGGAAAGAAGAATGTGTGTGTGTGTGCGCACACACACGTTTCTTAAATAGGCAAATATAACGTGTCAGGTAAATGAGATTTTTATTACCTAATTTAAAAAATATATACATACACACAATACATATATATATATAATACATTCATGCTAATTTTTACTCACAGTTAAAATGTGATGTTTGTGACTGAAAAAGAGAACAATTAACTGAAGTGTTTTTTTTTTCCTTTCTCTACAGAGGTAAAGTGTAGGATACTCCTGTCTCTTCTTGAATACACAGGTAATATTTTGCATTTAAAAAATATTTTTAGTTGTAGATGGACACAATACCTTTATTTTATTTTATTTATTTACGGGTGCTGAATATTGAATGCAATGCCTTATGAGTGTCAGGCAAGCTCTCTACTACTGAGCTACAATCCCAAGCCTCTGCATTATTTTTTGAAGCAACAGATTCCAGGATTTTAGAATTCTTATAATAGGAAGGCAATGACTTCCACTGGTTTAAAGACAGTTGAAAATATTATCCCTACCTTCTTTTAAACTTTGGAAAGATTGAAAAAATGGATACTAACATAGTTTCAATAAAAACATAAAGTATATGCTTATTTTTGATGACTGGTAATAACCGGAAATGTACATCAATATCTAAACAGTGTCATTGAAAAGGAGGAAGGGAACAGGTTTTGGTAAAGTTGTGCAGTTAGTTGTAGGTTAAAGAATATTAGCAATGAGAAATGATACTAAGGACAACTAAGTATTTGATCAAACTCTAAAATACAGGCAGTAAGCTGCTAGCCTTATGCAGGCAGGCACTGTGTCTATTTTCATCATCAACAAATGCTTAAAATAAGAACTGGCATGTAGTGTTCAACAAATATGTCTGCAAGAATATGCTTTGAATTAAAAAGGGAAATTTTATGAAAATATTTCTGCAAGGTTTTTATTCAAGATGCATTAAAAAGGATGTGGATCCAGAAGATCAGGAAAACTCAGACATCTTTTTTCTGTAAATATAAAGGCATATACATGTGTTGATTGACTTATTTTTGTTATTTTAATCTCTTTCTTATCAAGTATATGTATATATACAAACAAGTACTGTTACAGTAACTTTAGATTCAGCAAGGAATTTGCACCTAAAAATGCAAGCTGAATAATTAATTATCTGTCCCATCAATTAGTTGTTGTTTTTTTTTTAAGAAAATACTATGAATTTTGTGGCTTAAAACAATAACTATCATTGCTCCAGTGTCTAGTGTCACCTGAGGTGTTTTGGTGATCCCTGCCAGGTTTTGTTGAGGTGGTTAGGTTTGTTCATGTGTCTGCAGCCAGGAGGAAATTGGCTGGGCACAAATTATCTTGGGTGACCTTACTTGCCCATGTCACAATTGGTTGGCTGCTAACTGGGATAACAGGGCTGATGGTTGTGAGGGTCTTTAAAAGCACTATTTGGGAATTTTATTATTTTCACAGTTTTAAAGGTGAAGAAAATTGACATTCAGGCAGGTTAATAATAACTAGTATTCATTTGACACATAAATTTGAGCATCATGATGATTAGGTAAATTAGGCCTTATTGGGTAAATGACTAGCATGGTCATCTGTGAAGCTAGCCTGGTCATTTCCATGTGGAGAATTTGCAGGGTTCCAAGAAGAGAGCAAAAGCACCCTAGAGTTCACTGTCTTCTGTTGGTCACATCACAAAACTGGCACCYCCCCCCCCCCGCCCCCCCCCCCACCCGCAGAGCTTCAGATGCAAGATGCAGGGGTAAAGATGGAGACTCTGCCTTTATTTTTTATTTTTTCCCCAGACAGGGTCTTACTGTGGGTCCAGGCTGGCTTGCTGGCTTTCAACTCCTAGGCCCCAGTGATTCTCTTACTTTAGCTTCCTGAGTAACTGGGTCTGCAGATGAGCATGTGCTCATCTTAGGACTATTGATGCTATTGATGGCAGCAGTCGCAAAACTGTATTGCAAGGGCCTGGATACAGAGAGGGGAAAAATTTGTGACCACTTTGACAATAGACCACCAATGAATGAATGAGTCCAGTTAACCAAGAGGGCTTTTCTGTTGTTTGGTTGATTTTTGCTCTAATTAAACAAGATTTTGCCTTGCTTTGCTGACTAACAATAACCACCACCACAACAAAAATATTACAGTTCTAAATTTTTCCTAATAATACCACACATCATAGACCAAACTTTCACAGATTCTGCTGGGTGCTCACACAGCCACTATGTGAGAATGTTATTGTTTTCACAGTTTTAAAGGTAAAGAAACTGATATTCAGACATATTAATAATAACTAGTAAATGGCGTTCATTCGACTTACAATTTTGAGCATGGAGAAGATGAGGCAAAGTGGGCCTTAAAAAGTACATGAATAAAATAGTTTTGAAAGTCATACTTAGTTTTGCCAGTTTCAGAAGTGAACCTGGAAAGCCTTCATTGTTTTGTTCATTAACATTCAGATGGCTGTTGCTTATTTTGATTTTTTTTCATACCTCCCATAACTCATTTGCCTACTTAATTGCTTACTCTCTTTTCCCTCTTACACATAGGATGGCACCAAAACAGTAATCAAAGTACTCCATATTTTTAATTATTTCACTTGAAATAATATGCACGGGTCCATTAAATACTTTCTTAACTTTTTTTTCTTAATTTCAGTTGCAGATGGACCTTTATTTCATTTATTTGGTTTTATATGTGGTGCTGAGAATCAAACCCAGAGCTTCACACATGCTGGGCAAGTGCTCTACCACTGAGCCACAACCCCAGCCCACTTTCTTAACTTTTTGTTCCTATCTTTGTCTTTCTTGTGTTCATTATTATTGTTGTTGTTGTTGTTCTATTGTCTTTCGATATCTATCCCCTACAGTCTCTTTTTCAGTGTAATATCTGAGATAATTGTGTGGATCTAGAAACCATCTCATTCTTTTTTGACCAGCTAGCTAGTCCTAGAACTTGAACTTTTAAAAGCTGAGATTAAATGAAGTGTTAGTATTTTAAAATACATTGGTAGGAGATGAGTTTAGTAGGTACTTTAATATTGAAACAAAACCATGTGTTCAGAGCATATTCCCAGTATAAGAAAACTCTTGTACCACAAAAGTTCTAAGTAACCTGTTACAAAAACCTAGAATGCCTTGGTCTTTATCTTCTGCTAGAAGCTGGAAGCAGCTATTATGATTCTTGCTGAACTTCTTTCTTCTTGATAGAAGTGCAATAAAAGTTCGGCTTTTGTGTAGTGTGAATGAATGATTAAAGGCAACAGAGTGGATGTTTTCCTGGGAATTAGCAGATTTTGGGTTTTTTTTTAATTAAATCATTTTATTTATCATGTTTGTATGTTATTAATAATATTTTCTATGGTCTGATTATACTTTTATACTTTGGACAGCGTTAATGTAATATAATATTTCATGTCAAATACTATTTGCAAAGACTAGTATTGAAGAAGAAGAACTCATTTGTTCAGGTTTTATTCTTTTTTAAATTTTTTTTATTCTAATTTGTTATATATGACAGCAGAATGCATTACAATTTATATTACATATATAGAGCACAATTTTTCATATATCTACTTGTATACAAAGTATATTCACACCATTCGTGTAGTTTTCATACATGTACTTAGGGTAGTGATGTCCATCTCATTCCAGCATCTTTTATTTTTAACCCCCTTGCCCCCTCCCCTTTGCCCTTTTTAGAGTTTCTTTAATGTTCCCATGCTTCCCCTCCCAAACCCACTATGAATCAGCCTCCTCATAGCAGAGAAAACATTTGGCATTTGTTTTTTTGGGATTGGCTAACTTCACTTAGGATTATATTCTTCAACCCCATCCATTTACCTGCAAATGCCTTGATTTTATTCTCTTTTTCTTTGTTTATCATATTGTTTTTCCTCCATTCAAGAATAAAACTGAGTACCTACTCAGTTTCAGGTACTGCTCTATTCTGGAGAAAGGGGAATCACAATGATAAGTCTACCCAATTTCACTTTAATCGATTTAAATGATTTTAATCTCATTTATCTTTATTGCAGACCTAAGAAGTAAGAATGAACCCCATTTTACATGTAAGGGTCCATGACGTAAGATCATGTGCTTTAAAGTGGGTAGTTATATAGAGATTATGTGCATCTAAAACCCATGAGCATAACCCACAGGATACACCACTTCCCCTGGCCTTGGTGTAGTGATGATCCCCTGGAGGACATGTATATGTAAACGGACTTTGTGAATGCTATGTGGTCAGCCATCTGCCAGGGATGCCCCTGGTGTGTGGTGACAAAAGAAGCTCAAGGTGCTTCATGGAAAGAAGGGAGGTTTCCCATAGGGAGACAGAATGTTCTAGAATTTCAATGAGTTTCAGTAGTTCAGGGAGTTGACTTTTGACACTTAATGTTTGCTAGGTGGAGAGGACAGGACAGCCTGTTGCCAGAGGAAACCTAGAGAGAAAATATGGGTTGTAAAGTGCATTTAATAAGTCTATTTGATGTTGAAGAATGTGGGGCAGAACTTTGTGACTCAGAGGACAGATCTGTGCACCCCCTGTTCTGGCAGCTTTCAGATCCATTGTTGAAGTAGGACAGAAGAAGTTGGACACCTGAGGAATTGTCAGGAAGCAGCTTTATTGATGGCAGTGTTCAGAGGTAGCCTAAGAATTCTTACTTTGAAGTAAGATTTTGGAAATTCTTTGAACTCTATACCCAGGGGGTAGAGGGGTCTGGAGATTTACATAAAATTTTTTCTTCTTTCATTGAGTTCTCATGGCCAGTATCCAAACTTGAACTTCTCTATACCTCAAGTGTATTGGTGCAATGTTTGATTCCTGTGGGGCATTCAGAGTTAAACATTCGAATTAATGAATGAATATAGCTTTCATGGGGCAGATAGAGTTATCAACTTTTTTGCATATTGGCAAGGCTAGTGAACATTAATTGAAATCAGTTCCAATTCAGTAATAAGATTGAGTGAAAATTTCAATTTGGCTTAACTACATGTAGGGAGTAGAATAAACATCTATATATTCTTTTAATATTAAAAAAAAGAAGTTTGAGAATTTCTTCTCAAACACAATTTAGAGATAATTATTTCTACTCATGGCCAAGTTATTAAACCTGGGGATCTCTACTAAAGCTCACAATGGAACCAGAACCCCCCTTCTCTAGACTCTGGCTTCCCACTCTTGATAACAGAAATTTCTTTCACATTATATTTTTATTAAGTTATTTTTAAGTTATAAGAGAGAACATTTCTGCAAAGCTTCTGAAATAGTTTTAAAATCTCACTCAGAATTTCTGCTCTAGTATAGGACAAATGAAAAGTAAGAATGTAAAAGGAAGAGCTAGGGAAATTTTTACTTCTTTGGTTTCTTAGACCTCAGTACTCTAGCTGCACATTTGAACTAACAAGCTATATGAATTTCTTTCCTAAGTCCAACTAAATCCAGAGATTTTAGGGACACAGAGGATTAATTAATACATTTTCATTTTATTTATTTATTAGCTCCTTTGGGTTTGTTATTTCCATTTACTCATTTTGTAAACATTTATTGAATACCTACTCTTTATAGAAATTGTACCCAGCAAAAATAGGCATTTGGTTTTTTTGATAATTGAGAATTCGAAAATACTAATTCCTAGTTTAGACATTTTTTGTATTTTTACCTGTAAAACACTCTTGCCCATCTGGTAGCAAGGGACATAGGGTTTAGAACCACTTAAGGGAAATGTCTAACATCTGTGAGTTGCATTAGGAAGGTGAATTGTATGTAACTGCCGTATTCAACCATTTTGATCCCCAAAGCAACAAGTTCATATAGCTCAAGCTACTAAGGGAATATTTTTAATGGTTAATGCATTTCTAATAAAAATTTCTGGAGTGTTACTCTAGAATTTCTAGGTATTACTAACGATGAAACTGAATAAAATTCACGGCAGATACGTTATGTGTACACTTGCTTTTCATGGTTATTAAAAACAGATTTTCAGTGTTCTTGGTAAACATCTTAAAATTATGTCTCTTTGTCAATAATTCAAGAACTTGGCACTGAGTAAGGCAGTATTTATCTCACTTATACACAAATATTGACAATGCTTCTTTGTTCAAAAAGGTTCTTTAAGCCCTTGAAATATTCAATATACTTTTGGGAGATTAATTTTCCCTGTGTTTTTCTTCTGGTATGTGTGATTTTTCAATATGCAGAATGTTTGGCTTGATGTTTATACAGGTTGTATATATGTGTTTACCCAGAGACACAAATTCTGGATAAGTTTCTTTTCATTTGAAAGAAAACTAGCTCAAGAATGGCAGTTCACAGAGCAGACATACCATCAAATGGGTCACCCAAAAATCCAGTCAAATGCAGGAAAAGGCTTCTATATCAAAGATATAAGTGAATATATGTGTATGTATTTTGGAGTAAAAATCAGTTCATGGTAAAACTGTAAATCTGTTACTTTTGTCAAACATATGTAAGAATTTGTCTCCTATATATTTGACCATATTTGTAACTGATGGACTAACTGGATTCAGGAGATACAGATTTGCTTATTAATACAAATAATTAAACAGCAAATAATCTTTGCTCGTATGCATTATGCACTAATATTAGGATAGGTTTAGTAGATAATTACTTTTTAAGCAATATTAATAACATCATATTTTAACAAAGGCAAATTGTGTCCCACAGGTAAAGAAAATATAGATAAATGAACCCTATTTTTCTCACATTTTATAAAACAATTTAACAATTGCAGAATAAAGTCACAATATTAATTTTATAAAGCAATTTTAATATTCCAAACTTTTTTTGGTGTTTAAAATTTGCCAAAAAATATATTTGGTAAAATGTGTGTGCTTATTCATAGTCTAAATTCACTTTTCCCTTGGCATGAGTTTGATGGAAAGATGTAATACTAGTAGACAGGTGTGATTGTGCTTGCCTGTAAATCCCAGCTACTCAAGAGTCTGAGGTAGGAGGTTGGCAAGTTCAAGGCCAGCCTGAGCAACTTAATGAGACCCTGTCTCAAAACAAAAAAATACAAAAGGCTGGGGATGTAGCTCATTGGTAGAGTGCTTCTGAGTTCAATCCCCAGTACAGGGAAAAAAAGATGAAGTACCCGTCAATGCAAAGTAGATGCTTAATGTATTCATTTTTCTCCATCTGTGACATTTTTTTCAAAGCTGTCGTTGTGTTCTCTTAACTCACAGTCAGTCAGACACAGCTCCGGAGAGACATGGTTTTCTGCCAAAGTCTAGTGGCCACCGTCTGTGCCTTCTCTGAGCAGCTCATGGCAGCCTTAAACCAGATGTTTGACAACAGCAAGGAAAATGAGATGGAGACATGGGAAGCCAGCAGAAGGTGGCTGGACCAGATAGCAAATGCAGGTGTTCTCTTTCACTTTCAGTCACTTCTGTCACCAAACTTGGTAAGGAATCACAGGGCTCTGGCTGTCTATATCAACTGTAAGCTACATTATTGCATGTTCCCAAATATGAAGTGGTTAGTCATTTCTCACTCATTCTCTCCTTCGTTAGTACATCAGCTGCCATTAGCTACTTTATATAAGGTCACATTTTTCCATGGTCATTCAAGTTTTAATAAGTATGTAAAATATATACCTTTTTTTCCCCTGATTTTTAAAATCTCTTTTCTGTGGCTGCTGGAAGCTGAGAAAGCCTCCATGTGCTACTGCTTCTTCTGTCCCTAAGCACTGACTAAAAATGGTCATCAGGAAAAAAGAGGTTCTTTCTACTGTAATTCCCTTATCCAGCCCAGAAGAAACAGCCCACCGTGAAATCCGAATTCCCATTAAGATTGATAATCAGGAGAGTACTTCATAGAGGAGCTCAGACAACTCACATGCATGTGTGCTGTCTGATGATCTGTTTAGAATTTGCATGTGTTAAAAGAAATTGTGGGTTTTCTGGAGTACATTTGCCCTGTTGAATCTAAGAGCCCTGTGCTAACTGCAATAGAATTGGCCATGTTTGTCATCCACACTGGATATGAAGAAAGCATCTTGAAATATTTGAAAAATAAAATTGTGCTAAATTTGGAGGTTTGGGCTGGGGATGTGGCTCAAGTGGTAGCGTGCTCACCTGGCATGTGTGCGGCCCGGGTTCGATCCTCAGCACCACATACAAACAAAGATGTTGTGTCTGCCAAAAACTAAAAAATAAATATTAAAAATTCTCTCTCTCTCTCATAAATAAATAAATAAATAAATTTGGAGGTTTTTTTTTCCACATGTACTTTCTGTGATTGTGATAGTGGTCATGATGTTTAAAGGCATAGATGTTCACTTTTACATATGGATCTCAGGTGCGTGTTAAAAGGAATTGTGATTTTCAGTAGGAAATCCTATTTCATTCATTAAAGCATACATAGAAAATGTAGCTACTAAGTAACAAGGTTGAATTTTTAAATAAAAATGTATGACGTTATACATAAAAATAGTGCTTTGGGTGATGTTGAGGGTAACAAGGTGATTGCTGAACTGCACAGCTATAGGAGATTCTGGAATAATGGAATAATAATAAAGAAGTCCATCTCAGTGTACTTCAAAGTAACTAAATAGATTCTTTGAAAAGAATCTGTGCACTCCACGTGGGTGATTTATTTTTACTTATTTGTGGTACTGGAGGACTGAACCAAGGACCTTGTGCCTGCTAGGTATCTATTCTTCACTGAGCTACATTCCCAGCCCTTTTTATTTTCTTTTGAAATAATTTCACTAAGTTGCTCAGGCTGGCCTCAAACTTGCAGTCCTTTATGTCTAAGCCTCCCAAGTAGGTAGATTACAGGTGATTGATTTTTTTATTTGGTTAATTTGAAATAAAGTACTTTTGGAAAAGTGTTTTAAAACAAAATAAAAATTAGTCATTGTTTGTCAAATGTAAATTAATTTCTGATAGGAAGCTCACTTCCTATCACATTAAATATTTGTTAAATGAATGAGTAAATGCATGAGATTTATTATTCTCTTTACTTTAAAACTCTCATCATCTAATCAGATGTTGCTACTTTTAAAGCAAAACTTAATTTTATTTGCATTCTTGAGGATTAGGAGAAAATTTTACAATCATATAACTACGCAATGATCTAGTCCACAATATATGAAGAACACTTATAACTCAACAGTGAAAAGACAAATGACCCAGTTTAAAATTGGGCAAGGGACTTGAAATGGCAATAAGAACATGAAAAGATGATCACCATCATTAGCCATTGGGGAAATGCAACTATGAAGAAAGATTATATTATCTGTGCTATGGATGTGGTTGTAATCCATAAGGTAGATAATAACAAGTGTTGGTGAGGATATGGACAGACTGTGATCCTCATAAATTGGTCATGAGAATATGAAATAGCACAACTATTTGGAAAACAGTTTGCCAGTTCCTCAAAATGGTAAACATAGAGTTTCTGTATTATCCAGAAATTCTACCCCTAGTTAATACCCAAGAGTGCAAAGGTGACAATTTTTTCAACCGATTTGCATCTGTATTGTACTTCTTTGAAATCTGGGGTTGCCTTACTGATTGTTTTTCATACAATGAAAATTTCTTATCACCTCCTTTACCCTCTACAAATGTTGTACCAAAATATGGTAAGAGCTTATACTAACATATTAAACTGTTGTTTAAAACATGTTGTGCTGGTTGTTTAAAAGGTTCATATACATCATTAAGGGAACTCTTAAAAGTTGTGTGTGGTAAGGTTAATTATATTTTCATTATGAAACTATTAAAAGATCCTATAGAGAATGCATTAAACTGCTAATAGGAAGGCCAGAATCTGATAGCATGGTGATATTGCTAAGAGTCACACTGATATGATGAGTATGTCTGGCCATAGAAATTATAAGTTGTAAGAATGAGACAAATGGTTAAAAGAAATTGGATTAAATATTTACAAGATTCTAGACTAAATCCCCAGAAAGACAGTTAAGCAAAAATAATTCCTGCCCCCAAGCTCTTTTCGAGACAAATATATATATATACATACACACATATGTGGAAATTGCTTTTATCACAGTTCTAATAAACAGCAAATTGAACAGTGAATAAATTATTCCATTATAAAATAGGGTAGCTGTTATATAATGAGGTTTTAAAATAAAATTATACTTTCGCTTGTCGCTGTTATTTTTATGAGACTTTAGAAACTAAGAGTCAAATGTCATGCTCTGTGAATTTATTTGTAAATGAAATCAACATGATTACAGTCTAGCTACAAAATAGGCTGAAAAAATGTGTATAACCATTTTAAACAACAGAGAAAATGAAAAATATAAAATCATAGAAGGAATGTGTAACTTTATGGAACTTGTTAATTTCATTTTGGTCAGGAAGGTCTTAAGGATGGATTGATAATATTTTGCATGTAAATGAAGCACAAATGAAGCTATGTTTCATCCAGATTTACATTGTGTCATGGCATCTTACATTAAGTTGCATTCTATTTTGTCATATTGTTTTTCTTTCTTTGTAGACAGATGAACAAGCCATGCTAGAAGATACACTGGTTGCACTATTTGATTTGGAAAAGGTTTCATTTTATTTTAAACCATCAGAAGAGGAACCACTGGTTGCAAGTAAGTAATTGTGTGTTTGTAGAATTTCTTCAGCACCAGACAATAGCATATGCTGTATTTTTGATATTCATATCTTGCCTAGTTACTTTATGAATTGAAGGATTGAAAAGCCCCCTTTTGATTTAGCAATTTTCTATCACTAAACCTGACAAAAGCAGTAATTTAGAAGTGATACATTCAGAAAAGTAGCAATACCTACAGTTTAATGTTCACATTTTCTAGTTTTTTGCAAATCATGATCATTCATATACTGTTTCAACATTGCCATGCATTGGTTTAAAATGGATTTATCAGTTCAAGGAATCTTCCATAGTTTGCTATTTTTTTATGTGTGCCTCCTTATTTTTTCATAAGTGTCAGGACCCCCCACCCCCATGTTATGATAAGGATGTAAGCCTCTTCAGGCTGGAAGAGGTTATTTTTCACCTTTTTTTAAGGTCTGGTACAATAAATAGTGACTCAGTCTAGGCTCACTGAATCCATGATCTTATTTAAGAATAATAATTGTTCTTTCATTTGTTCATCACAAGTTTCTTGAATGCCTACTTCTTGCCAAGAATTTTCTAGGTGTTAGACTCAAGAGAGAACTAAGTTATTGGAGCTCATTGGATTTATTTTTCAAGTGGGGAAAGTCAAATGAACAAGTTGATTTTATAATGAATTAGAAGGTAATAATAAAAGGAAATAAAGGAAAAAGATGAATGGGTAGATGAGAAGTCACAAAGAACAGGGCAGTGAGTGAAGTCTTATTAAGGAGAACAGAGCCCTGACAGGGTGGAGGGTACAATTCATGCAGATATTGGGAGCGGGGTATCCCACACACATTGGACTCTGAGGTGGGAATGTATGTGGCGTGCTCTCAGATGAGCAAGCAGGCCTGCATGGGTATAGGAGAGCAAGTGAGAGGATCAGAGAGGGAGAGAGCAGACCATGCAGTACTCATCCCCCCCTGGAATGAGTACTTTCCAACCAAGCCACTGAGAACAACAGGATTTGGCTTTACATAGCAAAAGGCTGCCTCTGGCTGCTGTGTTGAATAGATCATTCCTAGGCCTAGGAAACAGAAGCCCAGGGAAGAGTTAGCTACACTCTGAATGACTAGGGTGAGAGATCATGGTGACTTGGCCTCAAAGATAGCTGTAGAGATGGAAAAAAAAAAAATGGTCAGTGCTGTTTATATTATTTTAAGAAAGTAGAGAGAAAACAAAACTAAAGTTGTGTTTCCAGTAGTGGACAAGAGAATCAAAACATGATGTACAAAGTTGGAAATGCAGGTTATATTCAAGAGAGAATATGACAAGGGGCATTATTTGAACCAATTGTGTGATCATCTGTGAATATATATAGAATAGGATGTAGTTTTGTTTACTTCTGTAACATAGGCACACTTTTGTTGAAGGCAGAGATGACTATGATTTTTGGTCTAATATGTTTTTAAAGTTTTGCCTGAAGAACTATAAGCTCACAGAAGTACTGTTTTCTGTGATTCTAATGCGACTTTATTGGTCCGTGGAGCCGAGGAAGAATGAATATCATATGCTTGATAAAACACTTACTTGTTATAAACCCACTGTAAGAGCCTTAACACTGGCACATTGGAACATGTGCTAAATATTAAAGGTAACCGAGAAGATGGAAGTAATGGTTGTATATGAATGTAGTTGTACCTGTAACAAGCTTTGTAATACATATTCAGCAATATATGTTTGTGTGTATTTCCTCAAAGCACTATCTTGACTTCTGAAAATAGTTCTCTAAGGTAGAGCTAGTTTCAGTGCTATATGAGTAAATATTCCAAGCAAATATCAAAAAGTGATGATAAGAACGTAGTTCTCATTTTATGTTGGCTCAGGAGAGTAGAGAATTATTCAAAACCCAGGGGTCGTCAAGTCTTATGTAAGTAGTATAAGGAAACTAGAGTTTTATCATTCATCGCACAGTTTCACGTTTCTATACATGTAAAAACAGAGGAGTTAGATGGACTAATAAATTCTGCATCATGCAAACGGGTAGTAATGGATTGCTTGTCTGTGAAGGGAGTAGTGGGTGTAGAAAGGAGGAAGCATAAAGGTGTAAAGAAATAATTGACTTTGACCTTGAGAAACCTGAGATGAAATCCTGGCTCCATTTTCATCTGCAAACATGAGAACATTAACTTCCCCTAACTCTAATAGTGTTGAAAGGCTTAAATAAGATAGTATTTCAGATCCTCTAGCATCATATGTGGCTCATTGTAATACTCAGTTAAGTGTTTAAGTCTCTCCTTACTTTATTTCCCTGACTTTTTTTCCCCAAAAAGCTATATTTATAGCTTCACCAATAGTTTTATTTTTGTATTAGAGAATAATAAAATTTAGAAGAATTATGGCATGCCAAGCATTATGCCAAGAATTATGGCATGCCAAGAAGTCTAGATTGAAGACATCTTATTTTTATTGAGGAAATAATTTTTACACACACACACAACCACCACCACCACCATCACCACCACTACCACCAAGTGCTGCGCTAAGTTCTAGGAATATAATGATAATAAAACAAGTCCTTATTGGCCTGGAGCTTAGAGACTAGTGAAAGACACAAAGGAATAAATGGGCACTTTGCCACTTCAGTGATAAGGAAAGTACAAGGTACTGCCCATGAAATATAGTGAAGGGGGAATATACTAGCCAAATGATTAGATTGTATAGAATTAAATTTATTTTGTGGAAATTCTGCATTTTTTAAAAAGAAATCCTGATAGCAGTTCTTCTCCTTTTCAATGGTGAAACAGATAATTTTATAGTAATTAATTTCTAGGTGTTTTTAGTCAACTTTCCATCTCTGTGACCAATATACCCTAGAAGAACAACTTTGAGGAGGAAGTTCACTTTGGCTCACAGTTTCAGAGGTCTCAGTCCATGGTCTATCAACTCCATAGTTCTGGGCTCAAGATGAGGCAGAACATCATGGTGGAAGGGTGTGGTGGAGGAAGGAAGCTCAGGGCATGACAGCCAGAAAGCAGCCAGGAAGAGACCTCTGCTCCCCAGGGACAAAGTGTAAACCCTAAAGCCACATCTCTAGTGACCTATTTCCTCCAGCCATACCCTACCTACCTACTTCTTCAGTCATTGCTCAACTTATCCATATTAGTGAAATTAATCCACTGATAAGGTTATAGCTCTAATTATCTAATAATTTAACCTCTGAACATTCTTATATTGTCTCACCATGAGCTTTCAGAGCTCACCTCCTATCCAAACCATAATACTAGGAGAAAGAATATTTTTGGGCCCCTACTATGCTTGTATGGGCCAAGCACCATGCCTGGAGGTGTAGATATGATGAATTAGACATTTTTTTATTCATTTTATTATTGTCCTGGAGGACCATCCAGATGTTCTCCTTCTTGATAATATGACTACTTTATATTATTTGTTAGGTGACAGCCTAGTTGGGAGACATGAATAAGATATCAACTACAAAGATAGGACTCTGATAAATCCTATGAAGGAAATAGTATATATATATACACACATAAAGAAAAAGAATGAGATAGGGTGAGGTGGCTCTTTAAATAGTGACCAGAGAAGGCTTTCTATAGAAGTAGTTTTGAAACTGAGATCTGTAGGATGAAAAAGATCCAACCCTTTTTAATAGTTAGGAAATGGCAATACTGTCAGAGGAGCTAATAAGTTCAAAGTCAAAAGACTTATCAAACTGATTGGCCCACACAGTGGTTGGGTGCCATGTTTGCAGAGATGGGATGGCACTGTTTGTTGAAATTCATCTAAGGGTCATTCCTTTCATTGATCTGACCACACAACTTTTCCATATTAAAAAAAAATGGTTTTGAACTTTTAATCATTAATCCTAATGACAGAGTTTGTTTTCACCATAGATAAATTGCCACAAGTAAAAGTCAATAATTTTCAAAAGTGTTTTTTTATTGTTGAGTTTTATATATTCTTTGTATATTTTGGATGACAGTCTTTTAACAAATGTGTCTTTCTAAATATTTTCTCCTAGTCTGTTGCTTCTCATTTTGTTGACATTATTTTTAGACATTATTTTTACAAAGCAGAAGTTTTAAATTTTAATGAAGGCCCCTGTTGGTTTTGTTTAAAATGGAATTACCATACACAGGATCATCCAGATGTTCTCCTATACCATCTTCTAGGATTTATGTAGTTCTGCATTTTACTTTTAGATCTCTGATCCATTTTGAGTTAATTTTGGGAAGGCAGTAAGCCCAGATGTTTAGTTGTTCCAGAACCATATTTTTAAAGACTATGTTCATTCCATCATTTTACTTTTGGTCTTTTATTCAAAGATAAACTGACTGTATTTACATGAGTCTATTTTACGGCTTTCTGTTTCTGGGTTTCATTGATCTGTTTTTCTATTCTTTGTCAATATCACACTATCTTGATTTCTGTAGCTTTATAGAAATCCTGATGCCAGGTACTGTCTGTCCTCCAATTCTATTCTTAAATAATGTGTTGGCTACTCTGGGTCTTTTGCTCCTCCTTTTAACCTTTAAAATCATTTTGTCAGTTTCCATGAAATAACTTAGAATTTTTATCATGTATTGCATTAAAGCAATAGATCAAGTTGGAAAGAAATGATATCTTGACATTATTAAGTCTTCTAACCATGGTCATAGAGTAGTTCTTTTTATTTTTTTTTAATTTTAGTTATTCTGATTTGTTATACTTGATGGCAGAATGCAGGTAATTTCATATTACACATATAGAGCACATGTTTTCAAGACACTGGTTGTACACAAAGTATTTTCACACCATTCATGTCTTATATATGCACTTAGAATATTGATGTCTAACTCATTCCACCATCATTCCTACTCCTCCTACCCCCTCCTTTCCCCCCTCCCTTTTGCCCTATCTAAAATTCCTCCATTCCTCCAAAGCTCCCCCCACCCACCATCACCATTATGAGTCAGCGTTAATGTGGATACCAGCGAGTATATTCATGAAATTTAACATAATTTAAACTATATATGACAGTGTATGAAAGGAGAGCTGGAAGATACAAATATTTAGTATGTATATAAATCTGTGTTTTCTTCAGTGTCCATACATAATTTATTTTTTATTTTAGAAACCAGGAAAAAAAGAAAAGATTTTCCCAATCATTAAAATGCTATTCATTTGCAACCCCTTCACCAAGAAACTTTCTCTCTTTCCAAAACTTATGCCTTTCTATCTTTCTTTAAAAAACAAATGTAACAAAATACAATATTAATTATTACGTGACATAATAAATGTAAAGGTTCATGTAATATCTCTTTTATTGATAAGAAGAAGCAAATAGATAAATTTAATAAGGAGTTTGTACTCTATAATCATAGATGCCGTTTGACCTTGAATTCTTGTTTCATTTCATTCATATTTCAAGAAGCAGGTTATAAGTAACAAATATTGAATTAATAACATGTATTAAATGCCTACTACATTTAGCCCTTGATTTCTAACAAAATAGTTTGACTATTTTAGTTTTTTAGGAAGATTTTTACATTCTTTTATAACGAGGTGTAAATATTTGTCATGGATAAGATCATAAAATGAAGAGGAATTATGATAGCATTGTTAAAACTTATAGCATTTCAGCTTTTCAAATAGTTGATTTTTTTAAGAAATTAAATTTGGGATCTTTGGAAGTAACTACAGTTTGGACAGATAATTTCAAATGACTGTAGAGTATCAGTAGAGGATGATTTATTTTTGATCTGGTGCGCAGGGAATGGAGCTGACAAAACCCATGCTAATTTTGTTAATGGTTGCTATGTACTCAATTCCTTGCATACTACTTAAGAAATATACCCCAAGGACTCATTTTGTCTCAAATATGAATGAGGCAGCTGCCCTGGGAGATTTTGAATCCAAGCCATGTGTAGCTAAAATCCTCATCTAGTTAAGTGAGACATCTGGTATGTCAAAGTTTAACGAAGTTTCTTATTACAAATGTTTATATGTGGTACAGTCATAAATCGGTTGTTTTAGCTAATGAGAATCTGGTTCAGTACACTTTTACTGAACAATATTTTATGTCTAACCTGAACTTGATACGCATGAACACTTTTAATGTATTACTTACTAGTAATTATCAGGATTCTTTGTAAAGGTTAAAAATACCTGCCTTAAATAATCCAAATATCGTATATAGCATATTCTGAGCTTAGAAAGTAATATAACATTTATTGTCCTTTTAGATGTTCCTCTTACATATCAAGTGGAAGGAAGCCGGCAAGCTCTGAAGGTTTATTTCTACATTGATAGTTACCATTTTGAACAACTGCCCCAAAGGTTGAAAAATGGAGGAGGGTTTAAAATTCATCCTGTTCTTTTTGCACAAGGTAAACTTTTCCTTTGTATGCTTCACAGACTAAATTATTTGCTGTTTATCAATTTTTAAAATTTATTTTAACAATCAAGATTTTTTTCATTAATTTGAAAATTCTTATAGTATTTAGGTAATATATTTGCTTCAGGGAATACTTACTGTGGGAAGGAATCATCTGTGATTTAAATATTTATCAAATAGGATTATAGCATTACTTACAAGGGAGAAATAAGACAAGTTGTTCAAACAAATAGTGGTAAATCTAATAAGGTTAAATAAACTTGCTTAGATAAGTGGAACTATGGTAAAGTCATTAAAATTGTATGTTTAGAATATATTATGAGAGAAGATGTTTGATAATATAATGCATGCAGATTATTTTTAATCTCAGATCTTTGATTTATGTATGTGTAAAAGTACATGTATGCTAAATGTTTTTCTCATGTTTGGGTAATTTAATTGATACTTTTTTTGAAAGTCATTATGTCAATTCTTTTATCAAGAAATAAGTATTCCTGACTTTAAAAAAAAATAAATAATGAGTGTCAACTGTGGTAGAAAAAGTCAAGAGTAGCATGAGTAAGATTCTTGCCACAGACTAGGTCTCTGGGGAAGATCCTGAATCTGATTGATATCATAGGGAATTTTACGTATTTTAAATTTTTAAGTGCCGCATTGGTTTTGCTGTGGAATTTTAATGTTCTTATAAAAAATGAGAAGAGGAGAAAAATAGAATCAATTATATGATTAAAGAATGGACATGTGTGTGAAATCTAAATTCACTACCAAGTGAAAGTTTTGTTTTGTGCTACATACATATTATTTTAGAACTTCAAATACTAAATGATAGATTACCTTCCTTCAGTTGTTATAGTTTGAAACTGCAACTGACTTAGATCCTTGGAAAGAATACATTTATGTAGAAGACATTCTCAGTGAAGTTGTTAGGAGGTATTTTCATTTCTTTTCAGAGGACCATGATTTATTGGTAGACTCTGTGCAGGTAATAAAGATTCTGGAATGAAAAGGAATACAAAAGAAGAAGAAACAATGGACAAAAAGACCCTTGGAGATATATTAGAATAATTTAACCTTAAATATGACAAAAAAAACCCTTACAGGGATAGATAATTTAAGAAGACAGTGTTCTGAAATGTTAACTTTTTAAAGGTTTAATTAGGGCTTACAGTTGTTAACGATTCTTCATGTATTTTTCTCTTTTTAAAATTTTATCTTTGAAATAATTACTGATATGACAGATGGCACTAAGCATATTTTTTTTTCAAAAATCTTGCATTTGTGACACATACACCTTAAATAACTGAATAATCATACCCAATATCAAATGTACAAAGAAAAATGATTATTTTGCAAGCAGTGACTGTTTTACAATTTTGGCAAGAACCAATTTAAAAACAACCCCTAAATATATAGTATTTGATGAATTTAATATCACTTTAAAATGTAATTTAAGTAAAAACTATAATAAATACTAGGTTTTAATATTCTCAAAGCAGCAAAATTTGAAAAACGGTTTGAATAAGCAATACAGGAAACAATTCATGTAGTTGAGGTCACGGATAGTTAAAGATAACTGGAAAACAGTTTGTGTGGTTAAAAATCTGCCAGTGATAAGGCAGACGTGGTGGCACATGCTTGTAATCATAGCTACTAGGGAAGATGAGGCAGGAACATCAAAAGTTTAAGGCCATCTTGTGTAGCTGAGACCCTGCCTCATAATAAAATAAAAAGGCTGGAGATGTAGCTCAGTAATGGAGCAATTCTCTAGCATGCACAAGGCCCTGGGTTCCATCCTCAGCACCTCAAAAATAAAGAAATATCTGCCAGGGATGAAGTTGTTTATTTAAAAGGAAAGCAAAATTTCTTCCGACATCATAAAACTCACCTAAGGAATCTTGAGTATCTCTCAGTATTTGCATAAAGGAGCAGCATAGGAAATCCAGACCTAATTTGAGTAGGTCAAGTCTGGTAATTGAAAGTAGTGATAAATGGAAAAGATTCTAAATGGAGCCTATTCCTGGATTGAAAGTTTATTTGAAGGGGTTCAGTTGTGTTTTTGTTGTTGTTCCAGTTAGTTATACATGACAGAAGATTGCATTTTGACTTGTAGTATACAAATGGAGTGCAACTTTTCATTTCTCTGGTTATACACAATGCAGAGTCACACCATTCATACAATCATACATGTACATAGAATAATAATGTCCGACTCCTTCCAACATCTTTCCCACCCAGGGGTTTAGTTTTGTAGGTGTATATACACATGATTCTTCCCTAATGAAAAAAAGTCAGATGAACATGAAAATTTCCTGGGACATTTATTAAAGCTTGCCTAACGTTGTCTCTTCCCACCCACATCCTTCGTGGGTAGTGGAAGTGAAGGTTTCTCTTTGGTGGAGTAGGGTGGCTGCGAAATAAAGCTAAGAAAGAGAAAACAGTGAAGAAACCACAGTTCACAGGAAGTAATTTTAGAAAGCAAGGCCAGGGCAGCTCTTTGACCTTAGGGGTCAAGCTTCCACACTGGAAAGAGAGTGAGAGCCAGCGTTTGCTTCGGGGAAACATCAAAGGTTTTCTGTAGAATGTTCTTCACCAATTAAGGTAGGAGGTGGGGTGTCCAGGATCCAATGGGTTACACTCAACAAAAGTGGTCTTCCTAGCCTAGTGAAGACAGAGGTGCATTGCATAATCCATTGAGTGGGAGGGGCCACAAAATAGTCTGCAATGCCAAACCTAAATCTTCCTGGCTCAAGACCCAGTGAAGATGTTCAAATAACCTCAAATCATTTAAGGAGGGAATTCCACAGTCTGTGATACCACAAACTTGGTGCAGAAGCAGCAAACGTATCATCTTCCTCCATTTTTCTTGCCTCCATAGAGGATTGGAAGGAGATGGACATTGTAGTTCATGGTGGATCTTGAGATGGAATTAACTGTAAGATCAGGAATTTCAGGGTTAGAGTGAGCAGGGTTGAAGGTGAATGTATACTGCTGAGGAAAACAGGAATCCAAGACAGATGAAAGTGATACATATTTTAAAGGAAAGGCACATAGAAACAAGCAGACTGGAGAGTGAGCACAAAGGATACCCAAAATGCTAAAATATGAAGGTCATATTAAAGCAATCTCCCACCTAATATTTATACAGGTCTCCTACAGGTTAGGGAATTAATGCTGTTGGCATCCGTGAGCCTTTAGTAAGATAAAGCACATCATTACAACTGAATGAATGAAATTAAACCTCTCTCCCCATGCATAAAACTCAACTCAAAGTGAATCAAGGACCTAGGAATTAAACCAGAGACCTTGTGCCTAATGAAAGAAAAAGTAGGCATCAATCTCCATCATGTCGGATTAGGCCCCAATTTCCTTAATAAGACTCCTATAGTGCAAGAATTAAAACCAAGAATCAATAAATGGGATGGATTCAAACTAAAAAGCTTCTTCTCAGCAAAAGAAACAATCAGTGAGGTGAATAGAGAACCTACAGAATGGGAGCAAGTCTTTACCACAATGCACATCAGATACAGCACTAATATCTAGGATATATAAAGCACTCAAAAACGTTTATACAAAAAAGCAAATAACCCAATCAATAAATGGGTCAAGAAACTGAACAGATACCTCTCAGAAGAGGATATACAATCAATCAACAAATATATGAAAAAATGTTCAACATCTCTAGCAATTAGAGAAATGCAAATCAAAACTACTCTAAAATTTCACCTCACTCCAGTCAGAATAGTAGCTATCAAGAATACTCATACATTGCTGTTGGGACTGCAAATTGGTGCAGCCAATATGGAAAGCTATATGGTGATTTCTTAGAAAACTTGGAATGGAACCACCATTTGACCCAGCTATCCCACTCCTCGGTATATACCCAAAGGACTTAAAATCACCATACTACAGGGACACAACCATGGCAATGTTTATAGTAGCACAGTTCACAGTAGCTAAACTGTGGAACCAACCCAGATGCCCTGCAGTAGATGAATGGATAGGGAAGCTTTGGTATATATACACAATGGAACATTATTCAGCAATAAAAGAGAATAAAATTATGGCATTTTCAGGTAAATGGATGGAGTTGGAGAATATAATGCTAAGTGAAGTAAGCCAATCCCAAAAAACCAAGTGCTAAATGTCTTCTCTGATATAAAGATGTTGATTCATAATGGAGATGGGGGAGCATGGGAGGAATAGATGAACTTTAGATAGGGAAAGGGAAGGAAGAGAGAGGGGGTGTCAAGGAGGTAGGAATGATGATGGAATGAGTTCTACATCATTACCCTAAGTACATGTATGAAGACATGAATGGTGTGTAAATACTTTGTGTATAACCAGTGACTTGAAAAAAACATGCTCTATATGTGTAATATGAAGTGAATTGCATTCTGCCACATGTATAACAAATTAGAATAAATAAATAATTTGATAAAGAAAAAAAAGAAATAGGAGCACAAGGAGGGGGTATATTTGAGTCCCTTCTTTCACCCACTTCCCACTGACTTATTTGCATTGTCAGTTTTTCTTGACACTAGCTGCACCTTAATCATCTTGGGAAGGTTTTAGAAAATACCTATACTCAGCCTCACCTCAAATGAATTAAGACAGAATAGCTCACCCCATCATATAACAATAGCCCTACCTCCCTGGGATGATCAGGGTCCTCTAGCCTTGCCACAGGGGGGATCACCCTTCTTGATGGCTGGTGCCCTGGCAGAAGAATTTCAAGTGGCCAGGTGGCAGTGATAGCCTACATTCAAATGGAACCCTTGCTTTGTCTCCCAGGGAGTGTCTCCTTTGGGGATCAGGACCTTTAATAAACCTACAGAACCAAAGTTTCAGGGTTGGAAAGCGCAAGTGTCACTAAGATCGCTATTGTATTAGTTTTCCAGGGCCACTCTCACAAACTACTTCAAACTGGGTGGCTGAAAGCAATATTTATTCTATCCAAAATCTGAAATGCATTAAGTCTAAAATAAAGGTGAT